TGTCGCGAAGGGATGGAAAACCTTTACAGCGATGTTATTTATTTATTTATTTATTTATTTATTTATTTATGTTAAAGCAGTTTTACGTAGACTCAGGCGACTACGTGCAACATTTTGCACCTGGCCCTGTCCTTGGTGCTGAAGGGGCAGTCAGGTTTAAAAGCCAGTCTATTGCACGCTTTCTGTGGCTTCAAAATGATCTTTTTGCTGTTCTAAGTACCAGGTTGTCCATTTTATGTCCCACAATTTGAATCTAGTTATCAAACGTTCTCTTAACAAGACTATCATTTTTGGTCCAGTTGTTCGTTTTTGTATTGCTCAGTAAATGAAAGAAGAATGTTTCGTTAATTAACTTTTAATCTTGGTTAATCTTTCAATTGGTGTTCACATTGATATGCTATGCTATGCACTGTTGCTATGAAGAACTGGCAATGCATATGTACATGTATCTGCTTTTCACCCAAAATGGCGTACCACAAGCTTGACAGAAGTCTAGTGAACAATATGTAAATTTTTGTATTTCTTAGTAGATGAAAGGAAAACTTTTAAACTTGGTTAATATTTCAATTAGTGTTCAAATTGATATTCTATGACTGTTGCTATGAAGAACTGGCAATGCATCACACAAAATGGCGCTTGACAAGCTTGACAGAAGGCTAGTGAACAATATACATATTCCACGGCGTGTCGGTGGCCTCACTTTGCCCCAATAATCTGCATCAAAATACAATCCAGGCTTTCTCTTTCCATATGATAAACGGGAAATAAAAACCCTGGGCGCACAAAGGATACACACAGCTTAACGGTAATTACAAATATGCCCAATTTTCAATTACCAAACCACCAGGGAGCCACCATATGGTGGAGTGACGCACGTATATTTTAATGACCGCTAGGTTATTATGTATTTGGTACGTCTTCACTCACTCATTGCGTCCTGATCGCTCGAAGTCTCCCCACGATTGTCTGTTTCCATTTCTCTCTATCTCCCATCGCAGCAGGCAGTTGACTTAGAGTCATTCCACTGTCAGCCTCTAGTTGCTTTATGTAAGTTAAATGTGGTCTTCCACGACTTCTCTTTCCATGATTCTGGTTCCACAGTAAGAACTTGTGTACTACCTCATTCTTTTTCCTCCAACAGTGGCCTACAAAACCTAGTCGCCTTTGCCGTATTGTTTCAGCAATGTTTCAGCGGTATGTTTTTGTACAGCTGGTACATATTACATGCACTTAGAAAAACGCATGGACGGAAATACAGGGAATGCTAACATACGTATGGTTATGGAACTCGGAGGACTTGAGTGCTTTCGCTGACGCAAACAAACCATTTACTACGAATGCAAAATATGCCAAATGTACGTGTAATACATATCATCCGTCAAAATATTTCATAATTGATTTTTAAGTTGTTTCTTTGACGCACCTTAATTGAAGGCAAGTTTTATTTCATCAATTAATTTGGTGTCATAGTAACAATTATAAGAGAAACGTATATAATTACCATTTTCTAAAAGCCATGATTCCATTCTTTGAACTTTTCCCAAATTAAGAATTACGTTTCAGTTTTTTAATGAATGGTTGCTACTACAGTGCTTTTACAGAACCGTTGGCACCACCATTTGTAGTGAGAATAGAGGTCATGCCACCTTATTTCGCCAGACCAGATTGTAGTTGCAAAAGCGCCGCCCTCTAGGGACAATTGCAGCAGACAAAGAAGCCGCTAATGTTTATGTTGACCCCAGACAGAAATGTGACTAATTCATCATTAATATGCCCCCCTCCCCACCTCTCTGTTAGAAGCCACAACACATGTATCTAATAATGCCGATGACAAGAATAGGTTCCTCATTATTTTCTATTTGTCTTTAATTTTGGCAGGTATTCTGGGACATTACCTCGTGTCTCTTTAGATCACGATTGTGACTATCTTTATCATTCCCGGTACAGAACCAGTCTTCCTTCAACGAATAATTTCTGTGGATATTCTGGGAGATTATTTCGTGTCTTTTTCGATCACGATTGTGGCTATTTTTATCAGTCGCTGTTCAGAATTAGTTTTCCTTCAACGAACACACCGCACACACCAATTATGCGTTTTAATGGCGATTTTGTTAGCTAGGGGCTAGAGGATCAAATTTTCTGTAAGTCTCTTGGCAGGTTGAGCTAGAAATATATCATGGGTGCTCAATCTTTAAGTGTAGCAATTACAGTTCAAACAGTTTCATTATTACGGCAAATTGGTGGCATGTTCGTGGTGTGAATATTCGTAGTGTTATTTAAGCTTGCGTACTGTTAAATTTTCCTTACTATTCTACAATGTCGATATTTAAACGTCGGGCAAAACTCCAGACAACATTGCATGGTTGCCAACATGCAATTTTGTATATGCCATGGGTTTAGGTCTGGACTTACGATTCCGGAACTGAACCTAAACCTCTGGACTTGACTCCGGACACAGCCCTATCTGCCGGCTTATTTGCCATGACAGATGTGTACAGAGTTAAGGTCGGCTCGGTGCCATCTGTGCCCCAAAGCGACAATACATCACATCAGCCTGACAGAAATTACCCCCCAATGACTACCCGATGAAACTGTATTGTGGCTGTATCAAGTAGCGTAAACGTGATTTCGTCAACATGGCGCACCTTTAAACATGATTTAGGTCCATGTTTCTATTGAGTAATGTCCACCGATGTTACAACGTTAGCTAGAGGACCTTCCGACAAGTATACAGACATTTCAATCATATACAGCAGTGTCCATAATACTATAGTATACTTAGAAAAGGAATTAGAATCCTGAAAAATGAATTGCCTCTCGAAATGTGGAAGGTAAGATCAACTCCAAATGTCAAAAAGCCAGTTATAACTTTATCCAATTCTTTATTCCCCTTTTCCTTCATTCGTGTTATTCTGACTGTTGAGCTCCTAAAGCAATTCCCAGCTCGAAGTGAAAACTAGATTATGGTTACATGAGTCTCCGCTCATGCACGCCGTCGGTCCTGCTGTGCCACTCTTGACTTTGTGTCGCCCTCCCCGCACGGCATATTTACATGTTAATGAAACCGTCCCATACTCTTATCTAATCCCCCTGCGGTTTAGTGGGACGACAAGAATAGAAAATGGCTTTTTGATGAACTCAGACGACGAGTTCTTTATACCATATTATACAACATGGGCTGACTGGAAAGTCAGGAGTACTGAATTATAAATCATAATTAATGTCGTTGATAATTTTGTGGCAGTTAAGCTTAAATCTAGGCGTTTATGTTGCTTATTAATTAATGAATGACATTTGCAGTGATTTTTTGCCTCAAAGGCTACGTGCAAGTCACAGAGATACCACACCAAGTCGTATATACGTCTTAACAAACCAAATAGACGTTAATAGAACCTAATTGAAACGAACAGAACCAGAATTTATATTGTATTGCAAAAAGAAATGACAATACTATGTGTATGATGTACACATTGTATGCTGCAATTGCAATTTCCTGTAGGGCATGAATTTGCAAATAAACTTCCGTTATATATCATTGATACTATCATGGCTATTTGATACCGCCTTGCAGCCAGCGAAAGATCTGCTTGGTGATTAGCATAAATGTTATTACTGAGCAGTCCCGTGCGCGTCTTTCAGGTGACTTTGTGGCGACCGTGACTGGATATCTGCCGGGGTGTGACACCTCGTTTAGCCATGATAACCGTTCCCTATATTCTCCAAGCAGAGTATGAGTAACTGCGTTTTGGCGTCTCCAAGCAGAGGTTTGGGTTTTGGATTATTTTGGCGTGTTTTTAGGATTTTTTTTGTCGGGGTTTCTTTTCTGCACTGGAATCTTTTGTTGGCGTTAAAAAAAAAGAAACCCGGATAAAAAGCCTAAAAACAAGCCAAAATAAGCCAAAACCCATAAACTTCTGCTTGGAGAGTACCTTCAGAATGTTGTATGATGAGCCCTCTGGTGATTTGGAGATCAGAGAAATTGAAGGGAATGTGTGAAGAAAATGTCCACGTTCTAAAATTCATTTACATAATTTTCCTATCTGGTTTACTTGGATTGTGACAAAACAATACACGTTGGACCCAGGCAATTATTTAATACTGGTGTCATGGCCGACACATTAAAACACCACAGAACAATAAGCAAGACATAAATTGTATCGTAAAAAGAAATGACAGAGTTCATACTTTCGCTGAGTCTAACAGGAGAGCATCTAAATCCATAGTATCCAGCGAGCAGACCAGGTCACTCATGCATATAGAGCCCTGTTCGACGCCAAGAGCAAATATCTATGGGAAACCTCTACTTAAACCTATATTAGTCTGGCTAAACCCTGTGATTTGTGCACATTTTGTACAGTCACGACTAAATCTAAACCAGCTTCTATTTCGTACTAAAGGATTGACTATTTTTTTCCTGAAATCATGACTCATACGCACTAGAGGCATCCGCACTTCAACCCGTGCGGACCACGCCTACGAATCACATGCCTTTCATTTAGATATCATTATGCAGTATTCAATTTCTGCTTAGCAATATGGCTACTAAATTCTCGTCATTAGAAAGCGAATCAAAATGTTCCTGCTAGATAGAAATTCCCTTCCTTGAATTATTTTTTGTCTAAAACATTCAAAGTTGTCGTTATCATTGTACATGTATTTATCATTATATCAAAATTTTCGTTCTAAGAATATTCAATATGCTGACATCTATGGATTCATGAATAACGGTTTTTCCATGACCATAGTGTGCATGTGGCGTTATTATATGTCATGTACATTTTACGCTTTCATACGTTCTTTTAGCTGGCGTATAGAATTATGATAAAACCCTGTGCCTTAACAATGCATCCTTTCCACGTAGCGCTGTAGCCGACATTCGCAGCCCCCGTAGATATATCAATGAACAATCCCGTAACAGGCACCCCCCTCGACGTAAAACGATCAGTCCCTTTGGACACCTTGCCCATAATAATCTTAACCTTGGTGTTGTCCGTTCCCAGCATCCCTTGCGCAGGGCGTGAGGAGGGAAGCCTGGTGGTTGTACGGCGTTGGGAGTCGGGAGAGGAGCAGTATCTCTGACAAGACGGCACTACGGCAGACAGTAAACCGCCCAAGCGACTCGCCACGACGCCCCAGAAAACGAATCTGACGAATCGAACCCTGCAGACGACATTTCGCAAAGATGAGGCCGGGAACGAGCAGATAGCAGCCATCTGGCCCTAGTAGTAACACCCTGGGAAGGAGCAAACAGCGCAGTAGCACACTACCCTGGGAAGGAGCGAGGAGACAGCTCTCTCAAAAGAGGTATTTTCCCATATTTCGTTCTATCATTTCAAATATGTATGTCTTTAGAGTAGAAGAAGTGCACACAAACCGCTTAAGGTTACAAAATGGGTGCGGCTGATTCTCAAATTCGTAGGCGAAATCTTGTTAAAATAACCAACTGTACCAAAGTGTGTTGGCCTTGGTTGTAATACATGTATTATATATACCGCAATATCATTTCAAAGTCCACAATTGTAGTACGTAACGTAGTTCATATACATTTCAGGCTATTAACGCTGCATAAGTGAAGACTGAAGATTGTTCTCGCCATGTTGGTGATAAATTAAAAATGCCTGTTCATAACGTTACGTTTGAAAATTAATTGGGGCAGGAACGATACCGGTAACAGTAGCAATTTGTCACATTCTGCATGCTATTCATGGCAGCGTGTTGGAGGGCGATAAATGAAATAAACGTTCATTTCCAAAATCTTGTTCAGCATGACTTTGTTCTTAACTCCGAGATATTGGTTTATTCATCTATTTATACTTTACTTCAGACACATTATACATATGTCATTGTATGCTTAAAAATAAATATATTAAATATATATTAAATATATTAAATAGAAATTGTCCGTATATATTAAACATATTAAATAGATATATTTATCATTTGTATATTACTGTAGGCATGAATACACATTGTTCTTATCTCATAGCCTTTATGTTTGGGATATTTTTACCCTATTTATGACAATTTTGCATCTAAATATAGATAATCATGTTGTCTATTTAAAAAAATGACGAAATGAAATTTGGATAAATACAAGCAACAGACGTTTAAGATTTCCTGCTAGGAATTTTGCACTTTGTGGATGAGTATTTCCATGACTAACGCCTCTAGGCGTAGGCGAGCATGTGTAGGTGAAGATACATGTAACAAAAGAGAGATATTGCGGGGGATTTCTATGGCATAATGAAGGGAATGAAGTATGCACTGCTCCCGAGCCGACCCTCTGAATAACGGACCAACAAAAGCCAATTTGTGCAGAGGGTTTGCATAATTAATGCCAGGTTATGTACCGGTATTCATGTATCCAGTTCACAACGCGTTAAATATCTGAAACGTTAACGGAAATCTCAACTTTTGCTATTTTTTCTCTGAAATTGAAGTGCTTCATTTCTTCGTAATAAAGACTCTAATTATTGAAATTTTAACATGAAATTACCATAATTAGTATATAGTTAGCAAAGCAAGAAACGCCTGAAACTGAAATCTCAAATTATTTTTGTAAAATTTCACTGTTTCGTGTATTTGTGATACATGATTAAATGATTAAATCTAAATGTAAAATTTTTATAATTATTAGGAAATACGGATCCAACAAATCTCAAAATTCCTAACATCTCACTGCTTCAACGTTTCGTAATACATGACCTAATTATATGAATTTGAATGCAAAAATTGCATAAATAGGGTAAAAATGTGCAGCTATAGCTTATGAGATAGGAACTACATTACTCTATGGCTACAGAAAAATGCAGCATATATATTTTTAGCAATTGAAGCTTGGCTTATCTTGTGACAAAAGTAGCGAAACGTTTTCTGTTTGACTCTTACTGTTTGCCATTGTTACCACAATCCATGACTTTGAGAATCAGTTGTGTTAAAATGTACAAAATCTCAACATTTAGGTCATGGCGTATACCCGCCTTAACTGATCAATGTTCGATGCAAATCCACGTAAATCTATTGTCCCTATACTGTCAAATGTGATGCACACCACTGTTCATCCTGCTCAAGCCGTCTGTCTGTATCTTGACTTTATCTGCAACGCTTTCATAGAGGGTGCTCTCAGTTAGAAATTCCACATACGTAACACGGCTCGAGTCAGCCAATATCTCATTATCTGAAATGCAGTTGTACTCATCCAAAGTGGACAAGTAGATAGTGCGGAGATGTGTTGTACTGAAACACGCTTTGCTCTACTTTACTGTGTTATGTTGTAATGCGTTATGTAATACGAGCACTTCGTTGTAATTTGTTGTGCTGTGTTATGTTGAACTGTAAGTTCACATTTAGTATATGTTGTGTTGTGTTTTTCTGTGTCGTTACCTTCGTGTATGGCTGACATTGTTACGTCCGTGCCATGTACGGAAGTTTTGTTGCCGGTCTGTCTGTTTGTATGTTTGCCTGTGTGTCCGTATAGTTGATCCCTGAATGCTATGCACATTGGAGACACTGACAGGACGTTAGATCAAAGGTCTCAGTAAACTTTTAAGGTTTCTCTAAGAACCAGCATGGCTCTTAAGGTAGCTCTTCCATCTGGCTCGATCCGCTGTCATCTTTGGTGCCTCGTCAAGAGTGAAACCATGGCTCCGCACTTCTTTATCGATGGTTCTTCGCCATGATGATTCCTTCGGTCTTCCTCTCAGTCTCCTGCCCTGAGGCGTCCATCTTAGAGCTGTTCTGGTGATACTTTCTGATGGCATGCGGCATATATGACCTAACCATCTCCATCATCTGTTTATCAGCATTTGGTGTATTGTCATGAGTCCTATTTTCAGATGAAGATTTTTATTGGAGATTGTGTATGGCCAGAAGATTCTAATATACATTTATTTTGGAAGACATTGAGTTTGTGTTCTGTGAAAAAAAAAGGTTTAAACCGAACAGGTCATGCGCTGAGCTGGAGCCATGTTCTCAGCTCACATATATGAAAAATCGATCTGCAGTGATTTCAGAAACAATCTCGGCAACAAAACTCTAGTCACGACTCGTCTCCCCTGTCCATGCTTGTATGAACATACATGGAGCAGATATTAGAGACTAGCAGGTAGTAGAATCCATCTGGGATCTGAAGAATACGTTTGGGCTTCAAAACGTGCGAAGGATGCTGGTTCATAATTCTTCGTTTCTATGTCGAAAAGAGACATGACTGGTTGGTTGGTTGGTTGGTTGGTTGGTTGGTTGGTTGGTTGGTTGGTTGGTTGGTTGGTTGGTTGGTTGGTTGGTTGGTTGGTTGGTTGGTTGGTTGGTTGGATGTTAGTTGGAGTTCCACGTGTATTGCACGTGTGTTGCAATTTCAATAAATCAAATGGAATCAAATCAAATGATGATTGTTAAAGAGGAATATTCGTACAGAAAAAATCCACACGATTTTCAGTGGTGTCGTACTATAGAGATAATGCCACTCAAGAGGAAGTTTCCGACTTTTTGAGCAGTTTTATCTGACGAACACCAGGTGCCGGTGTAGGCGGAGGCTTTACCGCTGGAAATGTCAAAAGTTCCCCGGTGGAATACCCGAGTAGGCGCCGCCTCGGGCGCAACACAAATTGGTTTTTCGGTTTTACAGCTTTAAGTGTCTTTTCCTCCTCTTCAAATATAACGAAGCTCTCGAAAGTGAATGTTTTGATGTATCTAGGATGGACGTGTTTGATGGTGATTGGCATCTGCTTGCATAAGTGTTGCTTAAAGGTTACCGTCAAGTCATATTAGTGAGGAGTTGGTTTCTTGGTTTGACAACTCTAAGTCCCTTATGGTTTTCGCCAAATAAAAGGAAACCCCCCAAGAGATTGTTTTGTTGTAGCTAGGATCTGGCTGTTTAGTTTTAGCTTACATTTATTTGCCAATACATCTTGCCTACAGGCAACTGTTCTTATGTATGAGAGCTTATAATCCAATTTCGTTATCTTCGGATAGAACTAAGCGCTTTCCATGGATTGTTTTGGTGTGTTTAGGATGGTGTGGATGAAGTTGTAACTTATATTTGCTTGTTTTGCAGATCGTCGCCAAGCCGGCCCGTGTAAAAGGACCCAGGTGGCCACAAGGCAAGCACAGGCCAACCAGCAGCGAGAGAAGCAGGGCGTAGAAGAACTTACACACACGTTGTAGGACAGTCGAGTTGCTTTTCTGTGGTTGGTTTACACATAAAAGGAAACCAAATGGGTATCAGGAACTTTAACCCACAGCGTATGGCGGAGGGACTGCGCACGCGCGTGTTCCGGACCAAGCCTCTGGACTCTCAGATCGAGAGCGAGGCCATCCCCATGACGACGAAGTTCCAGAAGTGTCTGACGACACGTGACCTGACGTCACTGGGGGTGGGGAGCTGTGTGGGGACGGGAATGTACGTGGTCTCCGGGCTGGTGGCGCGAAACATGGCGGGACCTGGTGTCGTCATGAGCTTCGCCATCGCAGCGGTGGCATCGCTTCTGTCCGGTGAGTCTACAGTACTAGTACTTGTCTCGACTTATGACGTCACAACCGCCGCCATGTTGGATGGATTCAATATGGCGTCCATAAAGTGACGTCACGTCTTACGACATCACAAACGCCGCCATGTTGGATACATTCAAGATGGCGTCCGTTCCATTTGAACGTGCATACACTCTACGAAAAAATCATTCCTTGTCTGGCGGCCACTAGCTATGCAAAAGCAAAAGCCGGAATGCTTAATAGACCAACTACCCAGAACATTTCTTCTTTCATGCCTTCGCATTCGTCTTGAAGGCATCAACTTGGTGGGAGCTGAGTTACGTCATAGTCACAAAACACACCACTACAGGCTTTCCATATGACGTCACACGCGCCAGGTTGGATTACAGTGTATGTCTGTAAAACACGATAACACGCTGCTTCTGCAATCCACTTATCCACCAACATGGTCGCTCGGTATTCAAATTATGATTATTATGACGTCAATGAAAAGCATATATAGCCAGGTTGTCTCATGAACAATGTTATTCAAACATCGTAAAAGTTAATAGTCGTTGCTCCCCGCAAACTATCCACAAACTCGTGGTATGAATTTCTTGATTCCTCTCCCCCAAAATCCCATCATTCTCTCCAGTGGATCGATAAATTTCCGTCCGCCAGAACGCCCAGTACTTGAATTGACGCTGATGAGGTTTTCTACGCGACCAAGCACAAGGCAGCTTGTGCGCACTTGAACCTGAATCTGCTGTTCATGGCCCTTTCGCACGCAACCAGGCAGAACAAAACGTTCCCCTGTGAATCATTGAAGGATTTGCCACAGAACGAATCACTATGGATCTGTCTTATCTGTTATCCTCTTGAAGTGATTTGATTCCGTAAGAATTATCGTTTGCTTGCAAGTCTGGTGGTAACGGTTTATTGACGGACTACATTTGCATGTTATCTTTGAGAACGACGGACAACCAAGGGCAAGGTCAAAGTCAGATGCACATGTCACGACAATAGAAACCCGTGAGCTGACTTCAAGTACGGACATTACAAATCCAAAACAGCTCATCAGAAACAAAAAGACATCCCTATCACTGGGTTTGAATTGAAATAACAAGATGATATAGCAAAATGATGTACTTTCTTGGGGGCTTTTATCATTTTTGAGGCTCAAAAACTACTTTGGTACACGACTTTTGATGCCCGATACAAATCCAGAAATGTCTTCATCATTGCACGTGAACGACTGGAGACTTTCTAAGCGATCAGAAGAGCCCTTCGTCTGTCCCAAATGTTCCCTGGTAATGCCTGAAACAGGACCATAATGACCATCAGGGTAGTCCCAGGGCCGATTTACCAAGGAGAGCGATAAGACCGATGTGAGTTGGATAACTCGGAATAACGTTCAGACCCGGAATGACCAGATTCTATTTCCGTGCCCGTTTGACGTTGGTTTATCGTGTTTATCGAAAAGCTCGCGATCGGTGAGCCTCCAGTGCTTAACATTGATTTATTCTCCGGAGGGAGAATGCACCCGAACTAATCTAGGTAAAATGAGACCCGGGATTCAAACGATTCACCTCAGTTTTATTGTAACTCTAATTCCAACACGAAATTGTGTCTCCGAATCCTTCTTCAGGATAAATGACCAACTAGTTTAAACACATGACAATGTAAGGACACGTGATACAGGTCACGTGTCAAAGATGATTGGAAGTCCGTTAACCGCCAATATGTGTTATACTATTATCCATTTTGATTCCAGTTATATATTTTAGCACCCTTGTTTATAGGAAAATTTTCGTTTTTGTATTTGTAAAATATTGCACTTTCATGTTCTGACTTGTCAGGAAATATTGGATCACGTGACCAATCAGAAGGCAATGATTTACAAATGTGATGGTGTTTTAGCATGTTGTTACTGTGAAAGATTCTAGGTTCTAGTTCTATCAGGACCTACTATTTGTGGATAAATTCTGATAAGTAAAATGTGTGACTGTAAATTTGATGAATATGCTACATACGGTCTTAAAGTGTTCCTTATCTACCTTCCTTCAGAAGGTATTAAAAATCGGCGGGCCTCCCGGCATGATCTTAATAAAGGTCTGAATCGGTTTGGGGCGTTCTCGTCGTCAATCTACTTAAAGATAATGAAGAAATCACACTTCAGACGGCGGACTACACCTCCAGACATGGCTGCAGTCCTGAGGAGAGAAATCTCCATCTTCGGCGCGGTTCTACAAGCAATATCTCCTATTGATTGATGCCGCTACACGGAGCAATTCCCACAAAAATCACGTCGAGAAACGGCTGGAGGGTTTAGAGCAACATTAATCAATCTAACATCACCCGTCTGACAGCTGAAGATAGCGGCAACCTTTCCAAATTGTGACGCTGACATCTTTTACCCCGAGGCCTTTGTGTAATTGATTTAAAATCGCGCAAGTGGTTAATATGATTAATTCACTATACTGGCAAAGACGTAAATTTATTCTTCTTCTCAGCGCTCGGATTTTCTATTTTTATGTGATTGGAATTAGCAAATCGAACTACAAGCAACTGCAAGTGAATACTAAAAAATAATCTGCTTTTTAGAGCATGTAAAAGTATTTTTGGAACTCAAAGAGAGCAAATGTATAGAAAGGTAAATCAAGTTTGGCGACACGAATCAGGCTTCTTTTGAATATTGTTATCCTCGTGTATCCTGTAGTATGATATAAGTGCATTTTGAAACCTTGTATCATATTCCTGATATCTTCTTTTGTGATTAAAAATTGTCCTTGTGTAGTAAATTCAAAAATGAAATAGTAAGAAGAACTTAAAAATGTTATTGTTCTATCAACCACAGTTCGAAAGAATTCCGTATATATGCCTTTCATCAAAGATCAAAAGCAAATCCCAGCTAACGTTCCCTGCAAAGATGGCCGCGGCTGATTGTAATTTTCCATCGCCGATACTTTAATTCCTGTTCCTTTTGAGGCAGCTTCTCCTAAAGCCCATTCAGAAGTCACTAATCCTGGAGACAGAACGACTCTACTAGAGGGACGCCCCATAGACACGTCACAGGGCACCTTTATGCAGATTTGACCCAATATACGATAGTAAGCCTATAGCAGGTAGGGATTTCCGAAGGATATCATTTGACCTTTTCATCGTATTCAAAATTGCAAGACATACAAAGCATGCAGGGTTAGACATCATTCCATGAGCTACATAAGATATGTTTCTGTGTTATGCCAGGGGCAAAATTCTGATCTTAATCTAGTTTCAAATGTATTCTATAGTTTATATTTAGGCCATGTTGATTTGATTATATGGATGACATCCTCTGGGAACCCCAAAACTGATGCGCGCGTGAGAATAAAAAAAAGTTTTGCAAAAAAAAACAAGTTGCTTTCACTATGAAATCTACGTGGTCATGAAGGTTGAACAAATGGCACAGAATATGTTATGGCGAATAATCTACTCTTCGAATTCATTTCTTTACATTTTTGTCTTTTTTTCCTTTGATTTTGGCATCCTACGACATTGGTATCGTTTCTAAATGTTTTCCTTGCAACTTATGGTATATTTTTGCTCATTTAGCAACTGTTTTGCACGATTTACAGTATGGTTGAAAACGTTTTTTTTTTGGAAACGGCCGAAAATTCATGCGCGCGCGGATGTCATCCATATAATCAAATCAACATGGCCTTAACAGCACACAAAAATGGCAAATGTAGCCCTATACCATATTGCAATAGTATGCATATTGCTACAATTAATTGGACACCATTACAATGACGAACAGGTCAACGCGTATCCAAATCCTACCTCCCAAATAAACTATAACATTGATGCCAAATTTGTTGAGCATATTTTTTTATGCTCTATATGTTCATTTTTGGTCATAAGCAAACCAACATGAAAATGTCAGTTGTATGCATGCCTATCCATTATTGCTGTCACCTGCGAACATAAATTATGACACTGCCCCAGGGGTAAGTTTATAAGGATGAAACAGAGGTCGCCATTTTCCCCCGCTGTGCCAGTATAACCCGCTCTACGATAGATCACCCTTATTCCGGCAACCACAATCTAATCCTGGGCATTTCTCTACGGAAAAATAGACCTCAGGTCTGATCTTGAGAAATTGCTGTGGATATTATTGAATCACTGCATGGTTATTTCATATTACCCTGCGGTTTGGGTGCATGAAAAGGACTACAAATTGAAAATATTTACTATCGACTAGAGGGAGTTGAAATTCTCCAGTGCTTTTGTATCGATCGGGCTGCGATGATGGCTATTCTCACGTCCTCATCACGGGTAATGCCGCCGCATCAGCGCCGCACAATCAAATCAGGGCCTGCCGCGGGGGGCCGCCGGGCATGACGGGACATCCATCTAACCGCCATTGCAGACAGTCAGGCCTGTCAACGACAAAGCATCATGGGATGTCGGAGACATGTCATTTTTAAAAATCATCTAACCGCCATGACAGGCAGAAGCACTGCGCCTGCGTGAAATAAACCCGGATTTTTCACGGTTCTCGTTTGATATTTGCTCAACGTGGCATCAGAATTGCAGATATTTTTCGACACAACATTTGAAAACTGTAGACGAGATTTCATCCTTCAATATGCGAAAACGACCTTAAAAGAGACTTTCCGTCGCCGTGCCATGCGCAATAAATTATAGGTTCCACGCAGGCGCAGTACCTGCTAACAGATGCAGGCCTACCAGCAAAGCGTCATGGGATGTTTGGGACATTCCAGTGCTGGAGCTCTAAGTTATTTCCAGAATTAATTGTTGATGATGATGATGTTAATAAAACTAGCAATCTTGGTAATAAAAGCATGATATCATTATGAAAAATAACAGAATGATAATAATGATGTATTTGCCATAGCTGTATTTGCTGTAGAAAGTGTTGTATCGTTGATAGAGGTTCAATAGATAGAATTATTACAGCGATATGACTTAATGTTAGGCATTATTGTAAAAATGAGATCATTTCACTTGCTTAAAATTACGGCCAGTTGTACTTTTGCATTATTTGTCCACAGTGATCTTTGGTGTATCCATGTGCCAACCCATCAGTAAACCAATTTATCATAATTTTAAATCCAGCGCCACGAATAAGCTTGGGCGTGATTAGATCCATCAGTTGCCTAATGTAGCCATTACCTCCACTGTGTCCCGTTAGTCTTCTCCTGCGCTACTGATTAGCCTCTGCGGTAGTCCAGCTGGGCCCGTGGTCCTAAAACTCATACAAGTGCTTAACCTTCTAGCTAATGGCTTGTACTCAATATGGAGTCGTGATCCCGCTTGTGCGTCGTTACATAAGCACAGTTAGCCTCTACCAGGCTTCAGGAGCCGCTGGAAAAAGCAGAAATTGGCCAATAGACAGATAACATGCCAGGGGAGTTGGTCCGCTGAAGGCGTACAGCTGGCCGTACTATGATCCTTTAGCGGACCAACTCCCCTGGCATATTATATATCCATTGGCCAGTTTCTACTCTTTCCAGGCGCATCCGAGTCTGGTAGCTATAGAGGCTAACAGTATTCCGAAGAGTTGATCCGCTCCGTCCGACACACTCCCAGGCACCTTTGCCCCGCTACTGGTGTTCAAGTAGTTAGTATGTCAGCTGTCCTGAAGAGGGCCGAAGAAAGTCATCATTTTGTTGTTCTATATGTTTAACTACATTATATATCAACAGCCACTCAGACAGTAACAACCTTTCACGTTGCAGTCTTGATTATGTGAACTTCTGCAAACTTTGACGTTAGTACACCCTCTGAAGAGTCCACGTCGCTACGTACCCATTTATTTGTAATGGCCCAATCTACCCAATGTCGGTAGCAAGATGAATACGGTTGATTGGGGCATGCACAACGGTGCGACTCGACTCCTTCTCCATGGATTCTGACGTGAATTACTCAAAACCCACATTTTGGCGACCTCCCACCCACAAGGTTGAGCCTGATTAAAGGTACCCTCTTAACAAAGCGTCTTAAAGTCACCGTGTGGGCGGGGTGCTCGGGGAAAGGTCGCAACCTCCCCAAATGTTACCTGATCAATGAGGGCTACTCTCCACTGTGGCATTTACCCAAGGTCTGATTGCGTTCCTTGTTATTACGCGGGATATCTGTGGAACGCCGTCATCCCTCAAGTCGTTACGACAGCGTGTGTGGGGGGGAAGTCTTATCACACCACGGCAGACGGGCACGCTGGGACCGGCTCAACGTAGCGATGCATTTACAAATGGAAATTCCGACGCTTTGGGAAAAATGCCAGTGATCACTTTTTGTTCAGTAACCCTAAACAGTGACATCGAATCCCGGCAACAACATTGATTCGTACGTAAAATGATATACGTACATATATCATTTTGTTTTCAAGTACCAGAACGGAATGATTATGATAGATTGAAAATTGAAATTAAGTACGATAGGGTTAGGTTTAATTTTTGCCACATTCGTTAGAAAAGTTGTCACGTTTTTGAAATGTCACAGTAACTGACCAGGTATGGTTATGAAACTTTCATTTAAAGGTTTTTGCGTCATGGCGTCATGGCTTGTCCCTTGACATCGTCAGTGATGACTTCGTTAACGTTCGTTCACGGTACATCCTGTCTCTGTGACGGAACCTTCCCTGATATGTTTTCAAACAACCGGTGTTTGCACGACTGGGTGCCCTGACGTCATGTGAGATAACGAGGCCCCATGCGCCGGTGCCAGCTCTGTCGCATCTACATAAAAGGATTATGTGTCTATGCGCTGATGATGTCGATAGTGGGTGGGAGGGGGTGGTTACACTGGTTACTTCAACATTCAAAACTACTTAGTTCCTGTATGGGGATTTAGTTCGTCCATTCTGAGCATGTTTGAAAAGTCGCCACGCTTCTTCGCTTCTTGCAGTCGGCCTTAAAGGCCCATTATGTAACTTTTTGACAATACAAAAAGTATATTTTCCAGTCTTTTCTTTACATAATAAGTTGACTTAACCCTTTAGTATTTCAGAACAATACTATATAATAGCATCAAAATTTAGTATAATTAGAAGATTTCAAATTTTGCGTAAAAAGTTACATAATGGGCCTTTAACAAATTTTAAATTTTGATACTAACAGTTGGTAAATGTACAGAACCGTAGCTTTACGTTGTGAGGCGTTATATGATGACACTATAGAATGACAGAGAAAGATGCCTGATCTGGTAGAGGTGATGGACATGGCTACCGACTGTAGTTGGACACACCAGAGCCATTTTGTTTTGTTTGTTTGTTTGTTTGTTTTATTGTTTTTGCACTTACAAAATAGAACAAAATAGAACAATTGAGAAATAAATAGACATGCATGGGAGGGCTGGAAACCTTGTGGCTTATCTTAGGCTGAATTAAAAATTAAAAGATAAATTACCATTCTTACTAGATGAACTAAATTTGAAACAAAGAAAACAATAATAGCAGGAAATAAACAAAAACACGCCACTCATTATTTGATTATCGTGTTAGTGGGAAGAATTGTAATGTATTATCACAACTCATATTCCACAGTTTGAATGTAAGCTACTAGCAAAATAATATATGACAGCATACCATTAACCAGTTTTATACAGAAAAACGAATGGATACACGTGGCACTAAACAGGAAAATGACTACGTGTAAGTTACGGTATTGAAAATTACAGAATATCTAAAAGAAATCTTCTGTCCAAATCAATCTTCACGAGGCGTTAGGGGCATGCGCACTGGGTTGTATTAGCAGCATCCTTTTGAGCAGATAGGTGTGTAGGCGGCCGGAGGTTCTTTGTCACTTTTCCTGTCCTTGTAAAAGATTAATTGGAAAGTAATGACCAGGGATTTCTATCGGGTGGGCCGTGACAAATATGCTAGGTGAATCCTGACAGTTCCATTACCGGTGGAGATCAATTGCATCAGTGAATTGCTCACGTTTTTTTCCGATCGTCATAGACGTAGTTATGCCTTTGTAATCTAATTTGTGCTTTAAAGTGTTTAGGAGTCCCAAATTCAACGTTTTCGTATAGTCGACTGTAACGATAGCAGTATTATTCAATACTTACCCGTACTTGTACATTTTGAGGTCTCCTCATATTTACACCAAATATACACTCGTTGAAAAGTTCCAGCTCAGGCCAGCTCTTGATTTCTGCTGCAAGATAATCCAACTGAATTCTGGCAATGGCGTCACGGTAAAGACCTGCAACAAAAAACTCTTCTTTTTGATTAATATATTCACAGTGAATATAGGCATCGGGGATTATCGTTAAAAGCTGTCTAAAACTACTGTTCCCTGGTTTTACGTTTTTTTTGTACAGTGTGCCCGTTATAATTTGCCATGCCTTGTTGTTGTTGTTCTTTCATTTGAAAAACACAATATAGAGATATTCAAAAATACTCTTCTAAACTCTTTGAACTGTGGTTATATCAGAAGGAAGAAACTGTCTGAGAGGCTCAGATATAAAAATGTACCAATGATGTACTTCTGAATTGCCAAATTCCAGGTCTCATGCTAGGACATCTTAAAACTTCAAACCATTAAAGGCACTAAAACAGTTCCTCCAATATTCATTCTAGACCTGTTGTCCCTCTAGGAAGAATTCCCCATTCCCTCGTTTTCCCTGACTCTACTAGGAACTAACACGTAATGAGGTAGTGATGCCTGTGTTCGGTATCGACCGGACTCGCACACTATCGATTTTCTGTTAATAACCCTCAGCCCAAATGACGTCACGGGCGTCAATAGACCATGTACTTCCCATTTAGGTTAAGCCACTTCCATGGCTATCTGTAAGAGACGTTAAGCTTATCGTGTATCCGCGCCACGAGACGGATTTTAGAGAGGCATACCTGTAGTTCACATGTCGCAAACTCAGTTTTAGATGAGCTTGACGGCTACCGTCGTGGTAAAACGTTGCAAAGCCCCCTGTCACACATTGAGAACCTTCCCCGGACCACTAACCAACCGAAGTCGGGAGCAATCGTACCAGATTTATCCCATGCCTGCTTTCTATAGGAATCGAATCAAATTTGAGTTAAATTTGAGTCAAATCTGAGCCCCGACCACTGCTGACCTACTCCCGAACCACCGGCCCTACAGTAATACACAAGTATCACTGTACGTCAGCCTCATGTGCACATTTCTCTCAAACCTTAACATGAGATGATCTTAACAAAAATGTGTTCTGTCGTTTTTTCTTCCCCAGGCGTTTGCTACGCGGAGTTCGGGGTAAGGGTTCCCAAGACGACAGGCTCCGCCTACACCTACAGTTACGTCACGGTGGGAGAGTTCGTCGCGTTCGTGATTGGCTGGAACCTCATCCTGGAGTATTTGATTGGCACGGCGGCCGGCGCAAGCGCACTCAGCTCCATGTTCGACACGCTGTCCGGCCACGCCATCAGCAAGTTCATGATCAGCCATATTGGATTTGCTATAGGTCAGTTCAAGGTCATTAAGAATGAAAACAGTTCAATAACAGACTGTATACATGGAAAAATTCATAAAACTGACTTGACTTCTAGATGAGTAGTTTATAGAATAAAGTAAAAAGCATTTTTGTAGATCTAATCTAAATGTTTCGTATTATTACAATTATATGTCTAATTGTCGTAGGTCTAACATGACGGTACGGGTGAAAATACTTTTTAATCGTGTTACGTCTATGAATGATATCAAATCTTTCCTTTGTTGTGACAAAACAAGTTGTATCTTATTTATTTATTATAGTTTCATTTCTTTTTTTTGCATGTATGCATGTTATTTTAACATATGCATTTCATTTTACGTATGAGAAAATGTATTATTTTAATAGAGAAAGGAAATTGTACGTGGAACTACAGCCTTCATGACTTCGTGGAACCTTGCATTGTCCGTAAGTCACCGCTAGATGGCGCAAACAACAGGTTGCCATGGTCACAGACGAACTTGGATCGTTCCTCGCTAGCTCTCTAACATAATTTAATGGCCCATTACCTCTAGCAATTCTTTAGAATCGATACAGGAAAACATAGAACAGACAAAACTTCCTTCATGCACATTTGAGATAATTGATAAGGAAATAGGCAAATCTCCTCCAACATTGGATCGATCCAAGTTAATGTTTGCGACCTTGGCAGAATGCTACCATCTGATGCTCTGTGTGACCTTCAAATAAATCTTGGTGGAATGCTATCAGCAATGACCATGAGAGAACTGTCGCGTCTATGACTTTGTGACTTTAACAAATTGCTTGCATCTGTCACCTGTCGCCTCAATTATGGTGCCTACGAATCACCCAGCATCCAGACTACCGACTTCTCTCAACAAATCCTCATTCTAAAAACCATCTGATTTCTTAGTTTGCGACTCTCATTGGGTAGACCATACCATTCTTAGCTCTTAACCAATCGGATGATCTCTTGCGCTTTTTCTGCGACAACTGTAGTAGCGAAAATCTACCAATCATCTGCCTACTTTTAAAAGCGTGTGATTACTGTGGTGATGTTTGCCTGATTGTAAAAAAACTACATTGGTTTTTCATACACAAATATGTTACATATATTTAAAACTTAATCCTCCAATATTGTTCCATTCTGAAGACAATACTTCAGGTAAAACGTATTATCATTTATAAGTAAAGGCGAAGGAAATATAAGTATGGAAAACAATTCGTAGATCATAAATAGCTAGAAATAAAATTGACTACATTCGTCATTCAATTTCCTTAAAGCAGACCAATATCAATCTCTCAATCCCAGCCTATCTCCATCAAAACCTAGAAATAAAAGGTAAATACAGTAAAGAAATATTAGACGGGCATGCAGCCTCTCTCTCATTGGTCGAAACGCTAATTACCAAGAGCTGTCATTGGTTGACCTGCTAACTGTGTTCCACAGGCAAAGCGTACCCAGACATCCTGGCTTTCTTCATCGGCATCCTGATCACCATCATCCTGGCACTGGGCGTCAAGAACAGCATCGGCTTCAACAACATCCTCAACGTCATCAACTTCGCCGTCTGGGTCTTCATCATGGTGGCGGGACTGTTCTTCGTCAACGGCAAGCACTGGACTAAAGATGGCTTCTTTCCTTACGGCACGTCAGGGGTACGAACTGTTTGTTTGTTTGTTCGTTTGTTTGTTTATTGTGCATCAACCTTGTTGCCTGGGTCTTCATCATGGTGGCGGGACTGTTCTTCGTCAACGGGAAACACTGGACTAAGGACGGCTTCTTATCTTACGGCATGTCAGGGATACGTAAGGTTTGTTTGTTTGTTTGTTTGTTTGTTTGTTTGCTGTTTTGTTTATGATGTCTGGATGTTCATCATGGTGGGCAGGGTATTAGGATCATAAATCATATGTAGCAGCAAAGTGTTAACCCGATTGAAGCTGTCTGGTAAGGGAAAGGATATTTCCCTATGAACAGCCTCAAATGCTACGACTCAAAACCACTGCAGTGCCACTGCAGTACCATAACCAGCCGCTAGGGAACACAAAATCCAATCATTTCGAGACCTACATGTACCCACCTACCACATTTCAACCATCCATAGCTTCTTGTATTATCACGTTGAGCCATGCGAATACATACAAACACTACCATAACCATAACCATAACGAAGGTAATCATATTGTTCTTGTTTCAGGTGTTTCACGGAGCGGCCACCTGTTTCTACGCCTTTATAGGCTTTGACATCATCGCGACTACCGGCGAGGAGGCTAAGCACGCGTCCCGCTCCATCCCGCTGGCTATTGTCGGCTCCCTGCTCATCTGTCTCACGGCCTACGTCTCCGTGTCCGCCATGTTAACCTTGATAGACCCTTACGACAAGGTCAGTTTGTTTTTTTATTAATTCCATTTTATACCTCGGGACATGTGTAAATTACTTAAAGGTTAACATCATTATGCATATATTATGTTAATTTAGACTAGTACTATTATTAGAGAAAATATTAGAAATTTCCAGGCTCACCTAAGAACAGGTAAAACGTCAGTGTCATTCCTTTAAAAAGGTAAAGGTAAAAGTCCAAGAGGTAAAGTAAAGCGATAGAGATATTCTAGAGAATATGCAGCTACTGTCTGATCAACTACATGTATAAGGTACTACGGTAGCTATTATGAGGTTTGACTTCTTCTTCAAAGGCACTGGATAATGAACAGTCCCGCGTTCTGCATAATGAGTGTGTTTTGTGACCTTAGTAGAAACGTAGTTCTTGGTAATCTTCTAGATGGCGAAGTCAAGTTAATTTTTCAAGTCAAGTTAAAGTTAAAGCCCTCCCGTAACCTTTGGTGTGTGTCGACCCCCCATACTCTTCCCCAAATGCTGAGTGCTAAGCAGAGAAAGCAGTATGTACCATTTTTAAAGTCTTTAGTATGACTCGGCCGGGAATCGAACCCACGACCTACCGAATGCATGGCGAGCACTCTACCCACTTGACCATTGGTAAGGGGATGGGAAAATTGTAGCAACTGTGTTTTTTCTTGTTTAAAGTTAAAACTTTTTGTCCAACACCAAAAAATCTCTCAACTAGAGCTAGCGCTTTCGACCAGTCACTCTGGTCTTCCTCAGTAGACTGACCCAGTGAGGCTTGTCACGTGGCTTCTTTGAAGTGCGACGTCAACACTGGGTCAGTCTACTGAGGAAGACCAGAGTGACTGGTCGAAAGCTCTGGGCGAGAGAATTTTTTGTGTTGGACTAAACGTTTTAACTTTAAACATGTAACTACCAACACAGATGGAATCTTGATAGTGTTTTTTCTTGTTTACCAGATCGACACGGAGTCGCCGCTGATCGGCATGTTCGTGCACCATCACTACGAACCCGCTAAGTACATCGTGGCGCTGGGCGCTATCTCCGGTCTGACCGTGTCGCTGCTGGGGTCGCTCTTCCCCATGCCCAGAGTCATCTACGCCATGGCTAACGACGGACTGCTCTTCAGGTACTCATGCACAACTGACAAACCGCTTCCTTAAGCCCCTGTCACACATAGATAAATATGACACTGCCGAACACTGCCGATATCCTCCAACCATACTCAGGATTTTGTCGGGAGCGAGGTTGGCTGGTGTTCGGCACGGTCGGCTACTGTTCGGCTGCACAATGTTTCAAAATTTTCAAAACATTTGGATGTTAAGGGGACGTTTGGCCATGGGTGGTAGGCCATCAGTAGTTGGAGCACTTTAAGGGGTCAAATCTGACTAAAATTTAACTAAAGTTTTATTCGTTTTGTATACAAAGGTAGGCGATGTAAGGCTTGCTTACGGTTCGGTCACAATCGTCGTAGGCCGTCGTTCGATTTTCAGTTAGTTGCATTTTCAAGGAAAACCAAACACCAACAAAGGTCTAAGACAGCCTTTTCCGTAGCAAGACAGTTAGATTTTGAATGGCATATTTGTACGACGGTCGTATGACGAATGTGACAGATCCCTAATACATCAAGTTGGTTGACATTGAAGCATGTGAAAATTGTGAAAGTTCATCTGTATCGTCCCGTTTGCAGGTTCCTGGCCCGTGTCCACGAGCGGACGAAGACCCCCGTACTGGCCACCGTCATCTCCGGTTTCCTGGCGGCAACCTTGGCGCTACTCGTCAGTCTACAGGTCGGTGGCACAGTTGAACCTATTTACCAGTGATAGTCGTTGACAGGCACAATTTGCCCGTCAAAGATTCCACAACAAATTACTCAAGGTTGAAGATACGCCCAAGTTTGACGGACAAAAACAACAACTTGCGTACGTGAAAATGCGAAGTACATTTTGAAAAGCGTCTATACAAGGACCACCTGGCCAGTGTAATCACTTTTTCGTGGTCCCTTAGATAATTTTCCCATTAAAACATGTCTATAGTTACCACCTGTCCATATAGATCAGATTTAATGGTCCCCTTAGTGGTCTTTTTTGGGCAGTTTTGACGGTACAATCTGTATGGGTTCTGCAGGACCTGATAGAGATGATGTCTATTGCAGGAAAACTGTCAATCAAGCAACTGGTTAGATTTTGAAAGTTGCTTGAGGGATAGCAGTTTTCCTGTATATCTCATCATTTGGATGTCTAACCATCATGGACTGTCTGTATGGTCTCCAGGACCTGATAGAGATGATGTCTATCGGCACGCTGCTGGCCTACACCCTGGTCTCCGTCTGTGTCCTCATCCTGCGCTTCCAGCCGGACGTGCTGGTCGAACCCGGCAACGAGATCTTCGACGAGGCCATCCCGATGGGGGAGCGGGAGAAACCGGTGGACAACACGGCTTCCGAGGGGAAAGTCACGGAGGATACCGTGCAGACAGAGAAGGTGAGAGATGTTTTGCATTTTGAGCTTATATGGTAGTTTATCATTCCCAGGGACAAGGCATAGAGCACCGGGAGGACCTTGCTAATGACCAAAACAGACCTGACTCTGAAACAGACCTGAGTCATCTCACAAATGTGCCCTATGTGGCAGAGACTGTCATCTTCATATAGCACTGTTGAGCCTTAGCCGAGGTTGTAGGGCTGATATCAATTAGGATTTTACCATGGTCAATACGTATAGTACTATAAAGGGAAAAGTAGTATAATTTTTTATTTTTCTTATTTATTGTAACCATGTAATCACCAGACGTGGTGACAACACACTCAAGTTTTTTCAACTTATATTAATGTCGCCACCAACACAGGGGACAAATACATGACAGGACAATACTCATTTACACCTGAGCTAAGTGAGGAAAGTCGTGTAAAGTGCCTTTCCCAAGGGCACAAGATCGATGGCATGTCAGGACTCGAACCCGGGACTCTCAGTTCCGAGTCGCGCACTCTGCCGCTACGCCACACGACCCCACTCACACACGGTGACTTACAGTAGTATAATTATGATGGGCTAGCGGCATAATACTACGTGAAGTATGAAAATGCGCATTTTAGTACAAGAGATTTGCCGACCTTTCTGTTATCAACGTACAAATCAGACTAAGGCGTGTAAAATCCTGTGTTCCCAGGAGAGGCAAGAACAGGACACGATGTACGACGATGACGACTCTGCACTAATTCCAGGCGGCGGCAAGGGACTGATGCAGGGACAGGTCGGGTACACTTTTATCTCCATAAGTCACTGACCCATCTTTCTAAACTTAAATACCTGTCGACGTAACATTTATGTCTTTTTTCTTTACTTCTTTATTTGAATTTACCACATGCAAAAACAAGTGGAAGGGAGGACAAAACAGGTGTATCAACGCCTTTACAAGTTGTCCTCCCAAACCTGAAATGATAATACAAAACAATACGAAACCAAGTCAAACAATAAACATTAGACATCAAAAATCAGTAGACATGAAATATACAATTCGGTAAAAATTATACACACAATATAATTATGTACAAAAATTATCAAATGTCATTATGTACAGAGTAAAAAGCTAATTATTATACTAATGCGGCCTTAAAGCAGTGCATGAGGCACAACCACAAGATGTGGACCAGGAGCAGGGGACGTCGATATTGAACTGGGTGTTAAATCTCATAAACGTGGCTCTCACAAGCGATCGCTTGAATCGCTTGGTCTAATGGTCTTTAGGACGACATGTATTCGGTAGAACCCCAGGGATCCAAGAGTTCCCACAATGTTACACCCTGTTCTCTCACTGCAAAATGAAAGTATATTTCTTGCACTTAACTTTGTTGTTTAAACAGTTCTTTAGAATAAAATGTAGAGTGCCTTAACCACTAGGTGAGCTACGGGACTATGGAGAAGGGCGCTATTGACGAGAAGGAACAGGAGAGTTGGTTCACGCCTTACATCAACAAGATCAAACAGAAACTCGGACCTGTGGTGGAAAATATTAAGATCAGGTGGGTGGCATAGACCGATTTTGTTCTTAGCAAGTTCATTACAGTTCAAACAATGGGAGAAGTGCAGTTAAGCAATTAACCAATGAGAGAGCGAATGCATCGGATAATTTCTATGTTTTGGCGGAGGTGGGCATACAGAAGCTTTACAACAACGCCTGTAGTTAGATGTGCGAAGGTTTGGTGTCATATAGCCAGTTGCCGCCGTGCCGCGTGAAAAATAATGCCAAGCTGGTGTGTTACGCTGAGGGGCAGGTATACCAGTATACAGATATAGAAGCTGGTGCGTGACGCCAAAGGGCGAGTATACAGGCTATACAGAATACAAAAACTGTGAGACTAATGCCAATATGCTGTGCAACCCTGTAGGTTGGGTATCCCGCTGGAGTCTGCAGTGCCCACGGAGCAGTCGGCGCGGATCGTGTCTATCTGTGTGGTGGTGGAGTTCATCGGCATGTTCGTGTGGTGTGCCTTCATCATCACACAGGAGAAGCACATCTACAACCGCGAGGGCTGGGCGGTCATCCTGGCTATACTCATGGCCTGTTTCAACCTGGTAAGTATGTCAAAAATGGAAGTACTGTTTTCTGTATGTGTGTGTTCCCGTGTGTGTGTGTTCCCGCAGGTTGTGATGGATATGGTTGGGTTCAGGTTGTCGCAGAGTGAGAAAGTCATTAATCATTTATACGTCTGGTCAGCATACATGTACGCTCGCCGCGTTCACAGGTATTAGTCGTTACATGATCTCGACAGCTATTACCCTTGCATGATATACAATGTATAAGAAGATTGCAGCAATTTAGTATTGAACATAGATAGCAAGTGGAGCCTTTTCTTCGAGAGAGATTTTCAACCCCTCCTAAAGAGTGCTTCCCTGTAGATTTAAAGTCAAATATTGCCTTTTAACCAACTGTTCTTACATCAAGCTACTGATCATCACCTGATTGAGATGAGATGAACCAAGATAATCTCAGGCAACTGATCGTTCCCCATCTCATGCATCTGTGTCCCCTGCAGGTGTTTGTGTACCTGATCCTCCGCCAGCCGCCCAACCGCAGGAAACTGAAGTTCATGGCGCCGTGCGTCCCCCTGCTGCCCATCTGCGCCATGCTCTGCAACATCTACCTGATGCTCAAGCTCTCGCCCATCACCTGGATCCGGTTCGTCGTCTGGTTCACGATAGGTCAGTACAAAATCTAGAACCAGCCAATCACGTTTTCTCACAGCCGTACGCAGCGCTGTGGTTGGCTGGTAACTTTTTCTTTCATTCTATAACATCTACCTGATGCTCAAGATCTCGCCCATCACCTGGATTCGGTTCGTCGTCTGGTTCACGATAGGTCAGTGTGAAATTTCAAACCAGCCAATCACGTTTTCTCACAGCCGTACGTGGCGCTGTGGTTGGCTGGTCACTTTTTCTTTCATTCTATAACATCTACCTGATGCTCAAGCTCTCGCCCATCACCTGGATCCGGTTCGTCGTCTGGTTCACGATAGGTCAGTGTGAAATTTCAAACCAGCCAATCACGTTTTCTCTCAGCCGTACGCGGCGCTGTGGTTGGCTGGTAGCTTTTTCGTTAATTCTGCAACACTGTCTGATGCTCAAGTTCTCGCCAATTACCTTGACCGGGTTCGTTGTCTGGTTCTCGATAGGTCAGTGTGAAATTTCAAACCAGCCAATCACGTTTTCTCTCAGCCGTACGCGGCGCTGTGGTTGGCTGGTAACTTTTTCTTTCATTCTATAACATCTACCTGATGCTCAAGCTCTCGCCCATCACCTGGATCCGGTTCGTCGTCTGGTTCTCGATAGGTCCGTGCGAAATTTCAAACCAGCTAATCACGTTGCCTCTTGGCCTTAGGCTGCACTGTGATTGGCCCAGAACTTTCCCTTTAACAACAGGAGTATCTGATTGGCTGACAGGTGGTGACTAGAAGCAATATCTCACGCCGATGCACCAGGGCTTGTGTTTGCCACCGATATATATTGATACGCTTCTTAAACTCTGACACTATCCTTCCAGGACTGTTCATCTACTTCGGATACGGCATCTGGAACTCCAACATCGAGTCGCGTGTCTCGGACATCGGCCGTCAGTCCGGAGACGGGAAGACACACGACTCCGTCGTCATAGACACCAGCCAGATCGAGAAGCCTGCCGTGCAACCCAAGGTCCTCCCGGCGCACAACCCTCAGACCAAGGAAGACTTCACCGTGGACCAGGCACCCATCTTGGACGAGGATGCCGTCATGCAATAACGTGTCCAGTCGCAAGCTGGCGTACATGTATGTAAACATTAGGCTACCCATTTGGTTCTTATTACAGTAACTATGTTTTGCAGCCAGGTATAGTATGAAAATAAGGTGAAAAAGATGGCCAGAGAAACATCATATCTCAGTGCAAACCCAATCTGTTTCTCCTATCATGATGTACTGTAACTAAAACACTTTCCTGGTGTAGTAAGTACTGCAGAGTCTAGTCCAGACCCTCTTTATGACCTTTATGTGTAACTTTCAGTCAGGAATCAGGGAGTTTTAGAAGCATGGCCTAGTGCCAGCAATTGCAATTCAGTGGTATATGTATCATTACACAAGGAGAGGTATGAAGAAACAGCAGTAAGTATTGATGTACTGGAAGAGCTTGCAATTGGTTAATGTTGACTTCTTGTACACTTTGACCTGATGACCAGTGGCAACTGTGACCTCACCTAATAGCTAAACAGTTGTATCCAGCATACTGAAACTAGGATTTTCAAAGACGATATGGCAACGTCCAAGGACAGAAACACGCAAAAGTGTTAGCAACATAAACTTGCCAACAATGGTATGGCATCGACAGATTCTGTACACTGCTATTATCAGTAAACTGTAGAAGTGATTGCAGGCTGTTAAATACATGGCTGTGTACTGCAATTAAAAAAAAAAACACAACTGAGAGCATGACACTGTCGTATTTCAAACCAAGTTGGTTTGGTTGCCGAAAACGTACTGGTTGCTATCTTGACATGTATGGAAAACTACACAAGTTCGAGTTGACAGTCCATTGGTACCTAAATAAGAGATGCAAGACCCAACTCATGATCACGAGCATGGAAAGACATGAGGTTGAAGAGTATGCTAAAGTTGGATATGCTAAAATCTATCATATCATCGTCAATTCGACAACGTCATCTCTTAAACTGTGGTGTTGTGCTTTGCCTCTTTATGTCATATCTTCACAGTTAATCTAGAGGATTTTATTATAAATATTCTATATAGTAGCTTAGGAACATTAGAAAACAGAGGGTTATTTTCAGAGTGCACAAAGTACTGCAAATATCTTGATGTAAAGATGCACAATTGCAGTGTATAGTAAAACAAATAGAGATCTCAAAAGTTAGGATAATTTTTTCAGGACTTCATAACACATCCTCATATCACTAAAAATCTACCAGGTGTATCTGTCAAATCCTCATCAGATACCAGGCTGTTGAAATGAAGTACTTCGCTACATTGTACCAAGACGTAGTCTATATGTACAAGTTGTTATATTATGACTCCATCTGTGTGTGTGCATTGGTGTAGCAATATTCTATGCTCTGCAGTTATGGCCACTAAAAATCTATCAGACGTACTTAAGATATGATGGAGAAATTCAGGAGTGCATACCATGTGTACGGAAGCTTCTCTGTTATATCAATCATGAGGAATTTTTCATTTAATTTGTCTCCATTGTCTCTACATTTTTGCCTTCACACAAAATGACAAATGTGAGTTTTTATCAAAGCAAATGTCATATTTTGTGCATTTTTCTTTCAAACTGCAATTCCCATGCCATTTGTTTAGTTGTACATGTACTCAATACAACTCAGAATTTAATAACAAAAGCTGAGACCCCCCCCCCCACTGTACATTTATGTAATAAACAAGGCCTCTGCAAAAGTCATCCAATTCACCCACCCTAGGGAATTTCAGTGACAAATGTTTTGTTTCAAAGAAAGATACATTCCATGCGCACAACACATTCATCTACATCATATAAAGCAGTAGTTAGTTACAAATGTAGGTATTGGTGACTGGCAATGAATGTATGCTTCATATTGTTGTGGATATCGTTTCAACATTGTAGTAGCAAGGCAGTTCTGAAAACAGTAGTCTGTGAAGAAGTGCTAGTCTATGGCTAGCCATATGGAAGTTATGTTGGTTGTCGGGTATTGTTACAATGTGGTTGTACATGTACATGACTGTGTATACTTAACTTTTTCTGAGTGTTGTGAACTAGTGTGTGTTGTTCTTGTTATAGATAATGATAGGAATGTGTGGTTTCCTTGACCAAGAAAGAACTAATTGTTATCTTATACACTAGTGCATCTTCTCTGTACTTAAATAGTGCAATGTGAACCCAAAACAAGAGGTGTGTATAAAGATGATGAAAAATTATAAAAGAATTTATGAGGAAAAAATCTTTATGAAATAGCATTCGAAAGAAGTACTAAGACTTACACAAAGGAGATGAAAAGATCTGTAGCAGATAGAGATCACATAGAGATACAGTGCTTTAGTTGGGCACTTAGATGTAGATGATTTAATGGTGCTTAGGTGTAACAAGACATAGAAGTGTTTCGATGTGTGTGAATAAAGACAGTATATGTGAACACAATGTACAGATGTAACTAGTAATGCTGAAACTTAACCATTGCGTGATGTGACAGTACATTTTTTGGGATGAAGATGTATTAAATGTATGGCCAATTGAGTACTCTAATTATTTCATAAACTACATACCCAAGCAAGGGATTTTAACAACTGGTACTACTGCAAGAGTACAGTACACCCTCCCCCACTAAAAATGCTAGATTAGCAAATGGAATGCATTCAGCACCAAGGACAGGGTAAGACTAAGTGCATTGCTGTCATAGTTATCCTTAAGAATCAAACACTGATTTACCCTACAGCAAATGCAGTACACTTTAAGACCGCCATAAGTGACACCTAACTAACTTAATGCAATAGAAATGCCTTCAGCACCAAGGACAGGGTAACTGGACTGTAGTAGGGATTGCATCCAGTCACTTAAAGACCATGTGACACCAAAACAAGTCGGTAAAATACATAATTATAAATATCGAAAGTATACAATTATACAATATTAGTCACTTGAAGTTAGTTTTCATCACGATAACTGAGAAATTGAGTTTGTATGGCCTTGCAAAAGTACATTTTTGGAGACAATCCTACAAGCTTTCCAATCGCCCGCCTCGGGCATCTCTATTAGCATGCAAACAGTCTGCCGGGATTGGATTGTGCTGACTTTTCTGAGGCAGGGCATTGAAATTTTGAATGTAACAGAAGAACCATGTATGTTCATTGTAAACATTCCGTTAGCCAGGTAATGTTAGTTATGTCAACTACAATCAGATTATGAAGTAAGTTTAAACTGTAATTTCCAACACAACAAAAATTGGACTCACCCAAATTTTCGACTGTACAACTCCAGTCTTTTTCAAGGAATGAGCAATCCACCGCTTCCGTGACGTCACGCAGATAACACACGTGACTCCGTGAGCAGTGGATCATAGGTTGCAGAAAGTCTGTGGCGCCCCCCGTCTCTTGTTGAAAAAGACTGGAGTTGTACAGTCGAAAAGTCCAATTTTTGTTGTGTTGGAAATTACAGTCTAAACTTACTTCATAATGACTTCTACCAACACAGATGAACTTTCAAGATACAATCAGATTAGGTTGTATTTTGGTGTCACATGGACTTTAAAATAACACCCATCAGTTCCATAAAATGAGAAAACACCAGTGCCCATACAAATACACTTTATTACAATCACCCATAGCAAGCGTTATACTACACATTGTAGTATCATATGTGTACATCATCAATAAATATAAGATTCCTTCCTAATATCTTAAGAGCAGACACCATAAGCAGAACATCATGATCCCATAAAATACACATTTCTGGGTTAATAACAGACCTGTCTTGCCCAATTTGCTAGGACACCATTGCTACTTGAGCTAGATCACATACATGTATATTACACCAATTGCTAACCTGATTGACCGTCAACCATCTTTTAGGTTCTGTAGTAAGTTATTAATGTTCTCATTGTAATACAACAAAACAAATAGTGACTTTAACATGCTATGACGTGACAAGATATAACTTTCAATCAATATGTTCCAGAGTAAATAAAATCTAACAGTAATGCTTCAACAGTAGCCTCTACCAGGCACCGCGAATCGCTGGAAAAATACACGGGGTCGCAAATTGGAGCTTCTATGGCCCTGGATCTTCTCTGGCATACTATCCCTTTATTTCGGCCAATTTCTACTATTTTTCCAGCGATCCGCGGTGCCTGGTAGAGGCTACTTCAACAGGCATACATTAGCATCAATAAGCCAATTCTTTCTTTGCCTTGTGCATGTGTGAGGTCAAATTTGAAGGTCCCTTACTTCAATTTTATACCAGCAAAAATTCCGACAGTTGTTCAAAGAAAAAGACACTCATCTAGCTTTTTATTATCTTCATCTTAGGGGTAAAACAAAAAGTCAATCTCTTTATTCTTACCCTTTTGTTTAAAGACAATCTCATTTCTTTAAGGCCACAGCATTGTAACATCTTGTTGGACATCTCAAAATCAAATTAAATCAAAATCAACATTTTATACCTTGAGGTTGAAAATTTCAGTAAAATCAAAATCTAGACTTTTTCCCTTATTACTTCTAAAAGATTCAAAATCCTTATCCTAGCATCTTGGCTTGCCTAATATACTGTACCCTTGAAACCCTTTGAACTGCCATTAAGTTTTACCAAGAGGTAATGAACCATTTCATCAGGCCACCCTTATTCTAATTTTTTCTACTATTACCCACCTCATCACTGTGACCTAAACAGGTTTTTTATACTTTCTTTGGCCTAAGTGAGAAATTTCCCAGCCTATATATTTTCTTAGAATATATGATATTACATTTATATACATTTGCACGATCTGATGTTTCCTAGTTACTGTCTTTAACACTTTCAGTCTGACCAGCATTTGTAACTATATACTGGTCTAAACTATTACTAAGGGATGCCAAAGTAACAATAGTCTTTGTAGATAGCTGCTTTGTACCAGCACCAAAAAGATGCCCAATTTGCTAACAACTGTAGCCTTCTGTGGTAGCGTGGATAGTCCAGTGGTTAGCAACCATGCCTCCAGACCAAGAGGTTGGGAGTTCAAATCCCGGCTGTTGTAATTCACCTGACTTGCAATTGCATGCTACTTGATGGCAAGGGTCACAGTCCTTTAAGTATGTTAAGCCCTGTTCCACTGTCCATTGCAACTTGTAGAAAAGAGGAATTTCCCCATACCATGAACCTGTAAACACTGTACGTTGGTCAAAAACCTGGTGAGTGTAGTTTTCGTGCTGGTACAAAGCTTCAACTATCTACAACATTCCTCTATTCTGCTGAAGCCATTCTGCACCAATCCCTGTGAAGATATGTATAGAACTGAGCTGCCTGTAAGGAGAACACTCCTTTAGTCAACACTAGACAGACAGAAGTGGTTAATAACATTCCACAACAGGAAACATATTTGCTGAACACAGGACTTCAAGGACTTGAGCTATGCCTCCTGATCTTCTTTTCAAAAGCTGGCATCACATAATCAACAATCTTTTGCTGAATTTGTTGATCACCAACGTTCAAAACGCAAGGGAATTGAACATAGTTTTCATCCAAAAATACTTCCTATCACATAGGATGAGGCTCATAGACCTGCAAGCATTGGCCAATCTCTAAAAATCTTCAGGTCATCAAGAGGGCACCCACTGCATTTGGGCCAAAAAGTACTTAAAACCTCACAGACTTGTCAGGCAAGTTATCTATTCTTTGTGATGCCAGCTATAAGAGACCAAAGAAACATGAAGACTCTATTCTTCCCTTAGGCAACACGTAGATCATGATACATAGTTTCAAGACATCAATAGGACACAGTTTAAAGAACTAAGGATGACAACTGTCCCAACCTGTGGTTGTAATAGACAAAGTAGCTATTTGTACAAACACAGGGATTTGAAAAAAATTGCAAGAACCTACAACTTTTTGGTATGCTCTGACACCTTTGCAAAGCAAAACATGGCAAGTCTGTTGCTATCCTCATGTCAACTGACCACAGGTCACAAAACCTTTTGAAAAGGGATGAGCTGGTCTGTGCAATACAAGCTCAAGCTGTCCAGGTCTTGATCAGATATTCTTTCACAAGAGAAAGAAGTCACACCAACTGATCTCCATTACAAGCAAAATAGTCATGTCAGTAAAAAGATGATTTAGTCACCATGTAGCTGGTTAGGGGTGGAAAAACATTCACTCCTAAATACCAACACCACCAACTGATAGAGAACTCTTTGACAGCCCAACTGCTTAAAGAATGGCCAACCATTTTATATCAGTCTTTTAATGAATTTATTCCCACCAAATTCTTTGAGACATAAGTTCTTTATATCTTAAAGTGTTTAAAAAGTTAAAATTAAAGGTCTCAGTGACAAGTCATGATTTGCAAGGACATAATTTTGAAGGACAGACAAAAAGTAATTTTGGGTCTTTTTGCTACCTTTGACTTGATTTTTTTATGGTCTATTTTTTTCTTCATCTTGCTTCCAGCGTTTTTTCCTTTACCTCTCACACACACTCTACCCCAGTTATTTGAAATGACAGTACTTGTGTATGAAGTAGTTGAATTCCAAAAACAATTTCATACCCTTCGAATTGATATGCCATTGAGCTTGCTGACTTAAATCTCAATTTTTAAGGATTGTGCATGTATTTTGGGTTTTTAATTTACACTTGAAGTACTTTTTATTCCACACAGCTGCTTTGCTTGAATAAGTTGAAAATCCAATAGAATATGGATTCTGAAGAACCAAAATGTACAGATATCAAAACAAGAGTGAACTCAAATGGCAGAAAAAAATATTTTTTTGAAGATGCCAGAGAAAAAAAATCATTCATCAATGCATCATGCATTACTTTTGTCTTTGACTATAAGACAAAGTAAGGAAAATGACAGTGAAAAGGATTGTAGACCGAATCCCATAACCCCACCCACCTCTGTTGTGAAAGTGATCCATCAAATACATTTTAACACTGTATTACAGAAATGAATCAGGACCAGGACTGTCTCAAGGACCCGTCCCTCCCTTTGCTTGAGGGGAAGGAACAAATGTCTCTCCCGAATAAAAATTTGCTTGTGAAAATGCATGAAGTAACATTTCAGAGGATTTGAAATTCAGATTTTACGGCTTTGTCAGCAGTTGACCAAAAAGAAAACAAAGACAATTTTTTGCTAGGATTGCTCAGGAAAATGGAAACACAAAAGTTTTTTCCCTATGCCTAAGGATCGGTCTATTGCAGCAGTTTTGACATCCATTCCTCCTACAGCGGGCTTGATGCGGCCGCCGTGTAGCTCTTGACACGTGAGAAGACCAGTGGCGGGTACTTCTTGTCGAGGTCGAAGTCGGTGACGGACGTGGTTCGCGTACGCTTGTTCAGGATCTGGCACGAGTATCGCACCCAGATCAGCTTGGCGTTCTTACGCTGTCCTGGAATAACAAAAGGGGACAGTCAGTCAAACAGATTGCAAAGAAAACATTGTTCTATCTCACAGGGGCAAAGAACATTTTCTAGATAGCTTCCAACATTGTTGAACTTCATTAACTACTTTTTAAAGTCATACTGTTAAACAACCATCAAACCATCCAACCTTAGCCAGCAAGCATGGCAAACAAATATTTTTATATAGCAAACCAACCAACCAACTGACCAGCCAACCAACCAACTTACTGACCAACCACCCAGTGAACCAATGAAATTTTCATTACTTATAACCTGGATATCTGGGATATCTGTTCTTCCTATCCTTCTGCTGATGACAGGTTTCTGTGTGTCCATGGTGGCAAAATCAAAGCATTATAGAAAACAGCAGTATTTATCAGCATCAAATCAAACCTTAACAGGGCAACCCTGCATTTAACTTTATTATGGTGAAATCAACCTCTTTAACGACCAGCTTTGCAATAGACTTTTCCTGATAGAACACATTGAACCCCCGATTAACTTGAATGTGCCTCTGATGTCACAAATAAAGTCTCACTGACAAAACAAGGAGCCTATATCTAGCAGACTTCAACTCATTTTGCTGCTATCACATTTTCTGCCCTGATTTTAATGGAGGTGTTTGACCTGTTTGATCAGGAAAAGTCTACATAGACACCTGTGCTCACCTTTAACTCACCAGTGTGTGATATGGACACCTGTACTCACCAGTGTGTTCCAGGTGTGATATAGACACCTGTACTCACCCGTGTGTTCCAGGTGTGATGTACTCACCCGTATGTTCCAGGTGTGATATAGACACCTGTACTCACCAGTGTGTTCCAGGTGTGATATAGACACCTGTACTCACCAGTGTGTTCCAAGTGTGATATGGACACCTGTACTCACCAGTGTGTTCCAAGTGTGATATGGACACCTGTACTCACCAGTGTGTTCCAGGTGTGATATGAACACCTGTACTCACCAGTGTGTTCCAGGTGTTATATGGACACCTGTACTCACCAGTGTGTTCCAGGTGTTATATGGACACCTGTACTCACCAGTGTGTTCCAGGTGTAACAATATATTAACCACCTGTACTCACCCACATCTGCCAGTCTCATCTCCACCTGAAAGCTCTGCTCCGTCTGTGACACAGCCTCCCGCGACCTCAGGTAACCCCGGGTGTACCGGTAGTACTGGTTCTGCTCGTAGGGGTTACGCTTCTTCAAGTAAGCAGCCATCTTGTCACCTAATGTGACAACAGTTCAGGGTGGTATATTAAAAAATATTGCAGCGAAAATCTGTGAAAATGCCAGCGTTAAAACTTTGAGCATTATTACATAGCACTTTTGCAAAGTAACAACTTTGTAAACTAAACTGTTGCAAAGTTTCATAATATATAATGACCACCCCCCCCCTTCCCAATTTCACTTGCTACTTGCTATATAATGTATCCCAACACTACAGAGTGAAAACCTTCTGCGAATGTAAACATAACCCAACCTTGTAGTCGGTAGTGTCCGGTGTACATGCCCGTCACACTGGCGCCCTTCCCTCGCAGCTTGGGCACGACTACGTGTGGTTCATCGGCGCACGTGAGGAGCAGCATGGTCCCGTCCGGGAAGAAGCGCATGTAGCGGTAGTACTCCACCACGTGGAACGGGCGGTAGAACGTGTCCAGGCCCTGCTCTCCTGGCCGCACGTACGACGTCTTACTGATGTATACACCATCATATCTGTGGAAAAATCATAGAATACTCACTGAATAGTTTCATCAGGTTAGGCCATGTTGATTTCATTATATGGAAGACATCCACGCACGCATGAACTTTCGGCGAAAAAAAACATTTTCAACCATACTGTAAATCATACAAAACAGTTGCAAAATGAGCAAATGTAACTGTAAGTTGCAAAAAAATATTGGAAAACGATACCAATGTCGTAGAATGTCAAAATGAAACCAAAAAAAAAGGAAATGTAAGGAAATGAATTTGAAGAGTAGATTTATCGCCTTACCATACTGTCGTGTCATTTGTTCAATGACCACGTAGATTTCATAATGAAAGCAACTTTCTTTTTTGGCCAAACTTTTTTTTATTCGCACGCTTGCATCAGTTTTGGGACTCCTGTCATCCATATTGTCAAATCAATGTGGCCTTAGTAAGTCACTGAATAAAGAGACTCTTTTTACACAACCAAGAGGTTTATTCAGCCAACTTTTTGTTGACCATCTGTCACCTTGATCAGGGCAATTATACTTGTTGTTACCAAACTGTGTGATAGCCTAGTGTAAGTCCTTGCTCTGCTTTGCATTGCAGCAAGCCCTAAACCCAATCATATCAAAGTCTGTCAAGATGATACAAACTACTTTCTCCGATTAGCACACAGAACTTATGACTAGATGAGAAAAGAATATGGGAGTTCAAGTACAACACACACACAATGGAGTGACATCACACGGATGGGGGAAGTAGGCATTTCATTACCTACTAAATGTAACTTAAAACCACAAAAGGTCAGACACAGAAAATTAGGTTCTGGGACCTAGCAGGGAGTCTGCTGCAAGGGTGCCTGTGGGAAAATGCTTAGAGGTAAAGAGAGTAATTCTTGATGAATAAAACAAGAATCTTCACAAAAACTCAATCAAGGTGTAGCCTATTACCTGAAGTGTGGCCTGTTGATGTACATGTCCCTCCAGCTGCCATACTGGGACGGGGTACCACAGTTGATGCCCCAGACTCGCAGGCAGGCCTGGTGCCAGATCTCAGGGTCCCGCGCGCACACGTAGAACCCTCGACACACCAGCGCCAGACGCTCCAGGGAACGCATGTCCAGATCACTGCTCACCACCCATCTACAACACATGATAACATCCCTCAATGTTAGCTTAGCTACATCATGCTTCTACTTCTAGCAAAACTTCCAATAGTAAGTACCGGTAAGGCTCCTAAGAGCTTAATGGCCAACACCTCTAACTCAGCAGAATTAAGAATTCTAGGAAAAATCAAGGCTCGGATGACTTTTGAGTTAAGTGAATCTGACATAAGGGCAGGTCTGGCTGGCACATGCACAAATCATACACGATCAGACAGTGAAACTAGGATTAGAACCCCTATCCTTGTGATCTCTAAAACCATTACCTGAAGATATAGGTAAGCAGTTCAGCAGGCAGAGCAGAGATGTGAGTCTGGCGTAGCGGGAGATTCGCCTGGCACAGACGCCCGTCGGACACTGTGAGACGGTGGAACTGGGACAGCAGGTCTGCGTCCTCCATGTCCGGGCTGGACAGGTCCTCCTCCTCATCCGAGGAATCCGAGTCGTCGTCAGATTTCCGCTCGGCGTAGTCCGTGATGTGGGACTCGATGTCGGGTACAAGCTGGATAGCTTGTCTGGAAGGAAAGTAGAACTCTTCAAATCAAACTGTATCATGTTAAGTCCTTTGGACTACAGGAGTGTTTCCCTTGCACTGGAAGTTAGCAGTTCTGAATCAAGTGTCTGGAAGGAAACTACAGTCAAACTTTGCCTTTTGAGATGTTCTGAAAAGAAAATGTTCCTAGTAGCATCCTTTTAAATCTAGTAAATTTGCTCCTGTCACCAATAATGATAATTCGAAAAATAAATGTCAGTTTTTGACCACCACTGGACATGTCTGCAGCTGGTTAAATTGTCTTTGACCAGTGGAAGTAGACATCATAAATACCTGCACAGCTCCAATTTTACCTGCACTAACCTGCATATACCCAGTACATGGACCAGTGCAGGTTAGGTGCAGGTAGACATCAGAAATACCTGCACAGCTCCAATTTTACCTGCACTAATTATAACCTGCATATACCCAGTACATGGACCAGTGCAGGTTAGGTGCAGGTAGACATCAGAAATACCTGCGCAGCTCCAATTTTACCTGCACTAACCTGCATATACCCAGTACATGGACCAGTGCAGGTTAGGTGCAGGTAGACTTCAGAAATACCTGCACAGCTCCAATTTTTGCTGCACTAAGCTATACATATGCAGGTGGTATTTCCAGCCCTGAAGAGGGACCCTCCAAAACTTCCCTGAAGTCTGAAATCTTTTATTTCTAGTTTCCAAACAAAGAATTGAATGCCCCGTTCAGTCCTGTACTCACTTGTAGAACTTGACAGCTTCGTACAGGTTCCCATCCTGCTCGGCTGACACCCCCTTCAGGAACAGCCGCTTGGCGCGTTCCTCCAGGTCCTGGTTGAAGTCGTCATCCGACTCGCTGTCCTGTCGCTTACGCCGCTGCTGCTGTTCATGGGACAGTCCTGTAAGGATAGAATTTAATACATGAAATTGACCACCCAAGAATGTATCTGGGTGAATGTTGCAACAAATTCTCATGGTCAGTTCTAATAGTAATGGTTATCAAATGTACACGAAAAGTCAGTACCTACAATATAGTATTGGTTTATGGAGTTAGGCACCAGAGAGAGTTTAACATCAAATCCTAGTCCCTGCCATATACAGTGTAATTACATGTATACAGTATCTTTATTATTACCACAGTCCATTCATAATGTTACAACAATAGTTTTGAAATTATGCCAGACTTATGCCAGAGAAACAGTGGTTTGATAGAATTCCAGATATCCAACCTGGCTCGTCCTCAGCATCTGCATTTAGAAAGTTCAACATCAATTTGACCTGAGTGGTAGGTTGTGTGTTTATTTTGAAAGTTGATGCCAGCGTGATTACTCTCATTTCACTGGCTACAGTATGCCAAAGTCAGTGACCCCTGCCCTATCACGCAATGGTAAGGGTGGGGCAGACTTGTTTACAACACTGGTGGAACATACTACACTTGAAAATAGTCACGCCACACATTTAACCAGACTCACAAAGACTCATTTCTCTATAACAGACTATCATGCAATGGTTACGAATTTCTTTGGGTTTACTGGAATTCTCAGTGCATGTAACTGTAACGTTACATGTATATAAGTTCAATTATTTTCATATATAGAGACTTAATTTCATGGTAGGAATGGAAAAGAGGTTTTCACAGTGTTTTATATTTGCAACTTTGAAACTGTAAAAACACAGTACATGTAGTTGCGGTGTCGTCATTTCGCAACAGCAATTATATATTAGGCAATACGAAACCTATGAAAATAAAAGTAAGGTATCTGAAGATTCACAGTAACGGGCCCGTTAATGACTTCAATACAGTACTATTAGTACTAATATTCAAAACACAAACAACCCCAGTATCAAGGGTTTTTGATTAGGATTTACATGTATGACAAAAAATATTATTTGAATCAAACCAACCAGAACATCACAGAAACATTACATGTCAGACAAAAGAATACCTTATCCAGACGCTACATGTTGTAAACAACCCACTGTGCCCCCAGGCATTTAACCTGCAGGAGGTCTCATGTTCACCAGGCTGTAGCCTTATTTTGCCAACCTTGAGACCACATGTTATATCCAAATCAATTTCAGGGTGGCAACCTCCACCCCACCCCCCAAACAAAAAAAAAATCTGTCTGACATTTTTCTGCAATTTATTTGCACATTTGCATGATCATACTTGAATGTTTGAAACAGCAAAACAAGCTACGTGACGAGTCCCTAATTTTTGCTACCACCAAGAAATAGCAAGGACAACAACAACACCATCAACCTGGCAATACCATATCAATTCATGATATGCATCTGTATATCTGGGCCATATTCCATCGACCTCTTAAGGTTTTGGTATTGACATTTTAAAAATGGACGACAGACACGCCCCCTATCTTTCGACAGCATGGAGGTCTCACAATAACAACATCGATTCTTCCTACAGCCAGTGTTCGCTTGCTAGATATTCAAACCTCCTAAATTTACTCCCTGGATGTTTTAGAAGCGAGAATTTGCAACTCAACATCAAAATCACCACCTTAGTACAGTTAGAGATCTCCCTATAGAGGTGTAGTTGGGGTGTTTTGACGAGAAATCTATAAAAACACGTCGTTTTGTGAGATCTGACCTACAAAATTTATACATGTCGACACGGACGTAGCTAGCCATGTTTGATAACATGATGCCAACAGCACATGTAGCTTACGCAATCTGGCCATGACAACGCGGTAAAACATTGATTACTGTATCTGCCGTGCTGTGTTTGTCTCTGAAAGGTTTCTGTAGACGGTTAGAGTGATAAATTTCGGGCTTACCTGGGCTCGCAGTGAGCTCGTCTCGCCATCGGGCGCGGAAGTTGTCTAGCTCGGCTTGCAAGTCGACTCCGGCCCGCGCGGTGGAGGAAGAAGACTCCTCGTCGTCCTCGTCTCCGGCGGTTTCGTCGCTGCCTAGCGGCACATTAGCGTTGCCCAGGCCGTCCATGTCTTCTCCGGTGCGCCTCGGGCCCCTCAGACGGTGAGCTCGCGGTCGGTAAAGCGGACAACACCGAAGACGGGGAAGCGATAATGTCTGCGGATTGCCGCCATGTTGGACACACTGCTGCTGAGCAGGCACGCACCGCAGCCGAACGCTATGAATACATTTATTACGTTTGGATGCGCTCTCCTGAGCGCACGGCGCTTCAGCACTTTCCTTCAATCAAGTTTATAAAAAGCGAAATAAATAATGATAGTAAATCCCTACTTTACGTAGAAAAAAATACAATGGGACTTTATGTCTAAATTTGCTATGGTACAAATTAGATAATTAACAGTTAGATATAACGTAAACGTTGCCTTTATAAATGTTACATAAAATAACTTTGTGGGCTGCCCAATCTATTTTCAATTTTCAAAGCACTGATCAAAGTTGAGAAACATTTTTTTTTCATTTCCATAAATATTGGGGCATAATGTGAGGCAAATACTGAAGGTCTAACATCATCGCTAACATTCAATATGTTTGATACAAAGGTAGTACACAAGTCATGTACCTTCCCAAATTGTCATCTTTAATGAATGTGTGTTTTTGTGTGCTAAATGTTACGTCAGATTACATTGAACGCCATTTTAATGAAACCTTTGCAAGCAGCAACACTCAGGCCTGAGTGTACAAATCTATTTTCCAATACTTCACTCTCCACTTGATCAAGATAAATCTGCTGTGGTTGCTTGTTAGGTCTTGTCTGTGGCAGCATCTGGACAATGTATTGATTGTAGTTGGTCGATGACCTTGTGTCTCCTGTACACTTGTTAATGTCCTTAACTGAACCACATTTTGAAACTATATGTAAATCAAAAACATTTCATAACCTTTTATGCAAAATGATGCACTCTCATTTGGTAGGGCCGTTAAATCTACATGATGTACATGCCTCTTTAAAAGAGACTGTACTATGTCATCTTGCAAATCCCCCTTAATAACATTAGACATTATGCATTCTTCTACTTGAGCTTTCATTACCTCCATGAAATGTGTCATGGAGGTTATATTTTCAGTTGCGTTTATCTGTCCGTCCGTCTGTCCGTCCGTCTGTTGGTCAACAAGATAACTCAAGAACGCCTGGATGGATTGGTTTCATACTTGGTGTGTTGGTAGGGTGTGACGAAAACTGGAAATGATTAGATTTTGGTCCCCCTAGTGGCTTCCCTTGGTACTGCAGCGCAACTTCCGGTTTTTATATCTCGCGATCTGGACATGCTAGGGTCATGAAATTTTCATGGAAGGTAGCTCTCGTGCTTGGGAAGAAGTCACATGAGTTTGGGCCCCCTAGCGGCTTGTTCTGGAACTGCAGAATGGTTTCTTTGAAAATATTCGAGAGAGGATAACTGAACAACTGTTTGATGGATCGTCATGATTTTTGGTATGTAGGTAGCTGAAATGATGCTTGACATGATTAAAATACAATTATGCAAATCAGGATCTAATTTTCATAATTAATGAGGAAATTCTATAAATCTGCTGTATTCCATATTAGGGCTATGAAACACTTTAGACATATGTAATTGAGAACAACAAGATCATTGGTAGATATTGATTATGTAAATGAAGACCTAATTTGCATAATTAATGGCAAATTGGTACAATTTTATGGTGGTAACTGCTGTGAATTTAATACTTGCCATACTTGGAAGTTCAATTAAGGCGAACATCACTAAACATAATTTATTCAAATCAGGACCTCATTTGCATAATTTATGAGGAAACGCTAGAATAGCCTTATTTCTTAAGATAACCCTGTCATTGGGCGGAGAATATGATCAAATGATATAATATATGCAAATGGGCTCTTATAATTTGCATATTGGCAGTAAAAAAATGTATAATTCGTCAGCTTGGATGGCAAACATGAGTTGGCAAAGGTATGTCAGAGGTCATACTTGCATATAACCAACAATATCATACGTTGTCCATGTTAAATGGTAAGGATTTCACCAGTGTGTTGTATGTTACTAGGTAGGGGCTATGTGAATAATTTGTATAAAAATTTTGCTAATGAGCAGGATTGTAAATGTAAGCCATTTATGTGATCATCACTATGCATAAGCTTTACGAAAGCACTAAACATGTCATGGAGGTATGAGATTGTCGAACTCTAGTTTTAGATGCGTTTATCTGTCCGTCCGTCTGTTGGTCAACAAGATAACTCAAGAACGCCTGGATGGATTGGTTTCATACTTGGTGTGTTGGTAGGGTGTGACGAAAACTGGAAATGATTAGATTTTGGTCCCCCTAGTGGCTTCCCTTGGTACTGCAGCGCAACTTCCGGTTTTTATATCTCGCGATCTGGACATGCTAGGGTCATGAAATTTTCATGGAAGGTAGCTCTCGTGCTTGGGAAGAAGTCACATGAGTTTGGGCCCCCTAGCGGCTTGTTCTGGAACTGCAGGGCACTTTCTGGCGAAATGTCATAATTAATGCGAATAAGTCCAGACAGGAACAACATATTTTCATTATTTTTGGTGTGTAGGTAGCTGAGAGAGATGTACATAATTAAATGCAAATTATGCAAATGAGGACTTTATTTGCATAATTAATGAGGAAATTCTATAATTACAGTGTTTTACATTATACTACTTACGTACATGTAATGTATGTAACCTATGGCAGGCGTAACTTCAACAGATACTAATTATGCAAATGCTGACCTAATTTGCATAATTAATGCGGAATTCTATGATTTCGTAATGGTGAATGATGAGAATATCATACTTGGGACATCTGTAAGTTAATCAAAAGTTAACATACATCACGATGCATATATCATGTTAATGCAGAGGTCATTTGCACAATTAAAGAAGAAATTTACATTTACATATCAAGATCATATTTCATGGAGGTATGAGATCTCGGAATTCTAGTTTTAGTTCAATTCATCTATGCAATTTGTTGTGTGTTAAAAGTAGATAGACTAAACATCAATAAATTGAGGAAAGACAACAGAATACAAAAAACAACCATCACAGGGTTTATTTTGTAAAAGGGTTTTTAATGAAGATAAAGGTACAAGAACAACTAAAATCTGCTTCAATATATAGTAAAGGAATAAATCGTCCATTCGGAACCTGGAATGTTCAATGGTATAAGCTGGAGACGGTGGGTTCTCCCAGACACTACATCACTTCCAACTACACCCTTAGAAACACATCAGCAGAACGTACTGCGCCTGAGCAAAACATGGATTTTTCACTGTTTGGACTTTTGGTCAACATTGCATCAGAAATTGGCTATTGAAGACACTTTCCAACACAACATTTGAAAACTATATCAGGGATGTCATCCTTCAATGGAAGTGCTAAATTGCACAATAGATTTGCGCAGGTACAGTAAGTTCTGCCGACGTGCTATGCTTCAAAAGAGATACTGGGTCATACTCGATGGTTCTGTCAACTGCCAACTTCATCCACAGTTCATTCTAAACCTAATCACACATGGTTGGCCTCGTGAATATGTTTTTTGTAACAATGGTCCAGGAAAACACTCTTTAGTATCAATGCTTTCATGTTGTTGTTGCATAAAGTACAGTACGCTGATTGGTGTTAGCACCAGTAGAAAATCATGCACACATACACGTATTGTTACATGTTCCGAAAACTGCTAGTTACAACCATTGTTATGAAATCATAGACAAACACTGTTCATTGGAAAACCATGCTCTTTCCTCTCAAAACCACAACTGGCTCTTTATGACAATAATCACCAGTATGACCCAGGTATCCCTCCTGCCCTGATCGCTGACACGTTGCCATGACTACCGCCCCTGAAGCCGCCCTGCCACATTGCAATCTTGCCCATCTATACTGCATCTTTCCCGATACAAACCCACTGTAATCTCCTCACAGAGGAGACCTTTCCCCCCCTGGGAAAATGGACTAACCCCCTGCGTTAGTTAGCACCTGCCAGCACCCCCCTCCCACAAGCTGCCATCTGCAATGAATCGCACAAAGTAAAAGTGATAAAAACATGAGTTTTTGAACAAGCTGCCTCAACGAAGTTCTTTGCCCAGCTGACTCACAACATAAAAAAAGGATATGTTGGCACGTCAACACCACTTGGCAGATTGGCAACACTTAGTAAAAACATCTCAAAACTGGCCTGTCTTTTTTTGGCAAAAAATGGCATAAAACGAGTAGCATGGTTTCCATGGAGCTTCTTCAACTGACAGCCAATCAAAAGTCATCTCATCAGCTATGTTATAGCTGAATTTGTGATGCATTTCCTTATTATAAGATCAAAATGCATCAACTCCTCTTCTAAGGAACACAAAATCATGTCTTTCAGACTTTCTTGATCACTGATCAAAGTTCACACCTAAAAAAGCTTTTTTCAAAATATACTTTTCATCTTCTTCCTTCTCAAAAATTTACATCCTTTGGCTCAAAAATTTCTTTGGAAAAAATAAGCGGCCAGTCCGCCTAGCCGCTTACCCTCTATCCTACCACTCTACAAATGACGCGCTCACTAAGAACCGTTAATTGTCGACTTCACGCAATTCCTGTTCACCATTGTCGACGCAATCATTCTACTATACTGGCTACCCTGCGAGAGTAACCCTACATTCCTGCCTCTTTCAACAAACTACTAGCGGAGTCAATCCTATTCTACTATCACCTTCTAAAGACTACAACTGGAATGTCCAAAAACCATCCCACCCAAAACAATCTGTCATCTTTAGGATCCAAATTCAGAGTAAAACCTTGATTCATGCACTTTTCTGCCCTTCCTCAGCTGGAAAAACTCCACAAAAAGGTAAAATAGCAATAAAAAATGCAGTCATCAGTTGAAAAAGCTCCATTGAATGTAGAAACGATGATCAAAAAATACAGTCGTCTGCTGAAAAAAGCTGCATTCAAACATCAAAATAAAATGTAGGTCACTTGTTTGACCCCTTTTGTTGCTTCCAAGAAAGCTAATTTGTCTGATAGTCATGGCAACGGTAGTCATGGCAACGTGCTCAGGGCCGCCCCACGCAGCAGGATTTACAGCTCTTTGGAACACAAGTAACGACATCATGGTATCCATGGTAACAGGTTGTGGAATGACGAGAAACTGCCCTTGACTTCAGGGCACCAGTATGGCTTTTTGCTTGTGTCTTTTCAACATCATCAGAATTTGGAAACAAAATTGAACAATTTGTATGCATAATCAATGGCATCTGGAAGGCAATAACATTTTTGTTGATGTACGTTTGCAAGGTTTGTCCCAGCTTCAGGCCATACTGATGTTCCCTTTTTTTAGGTGTTTCTCTCAGGTAACGTGACTGCACGACAGCTTTCTACAGCAGGTATATGAGTGACTGGCTACAAACTGTACAGGTGACTGCCCTCAGGAAGCAAGACCCAGGCTCTCTCACTTAACCTTCTCCCTGCTGCCTAACCCTGTCACCAATACAAATTTGGGGCCAAAAAGGTTACTTCAGCAGGGAGAAGGTTAACCTTTTCCTTGGTGTGCTCCAGTACTGCACACCGAGGCACCCTTAGAGTAACAGAGGTTAAGAGAGAGTGCCAGTGATGTTTGTGATGAAACTTTGTTCTGTCACCAGAAAACATGTTTGAACATTTGGAGAATTTCACTGTATACATATATACTACCTGTTCCTAGCAGTGTGACAGAAGGCAGAGCTAGAGATTCATTTCCAAATTTACTTCTTTTTTCCATAACAAAAGAAGATAGTCCATACTTCACACATAGCCATGGGTCTTACTTCTGTACAGAAGGGCAGTTGAGGATGTATAAAGACCGGATAAGAGCTTGAGATACATGCGTTTTGGTACCATGTGTCTGGGTGCAGGGCATAAGTCAGAAGGTGCTAGAGAACACAAAATACAATGTAACACCAACATATACACGTGGTGGAGGTTGCAAGAAGCTCTGTGTGTTTTTGGCTGAAGTGGGCCTTTCCTGAACAAAAAATTGTTTCGGTAACCAAACAAGACATCTTCTTGAGCACCTGTTCAAATTTTGGTCCTCATTAGGACAAACTTTTTTCAAGCTGAGTTTGTAATTTTTTTTACAGAAATATCGACTTCTTCCCTGGCTGCTTAGTATGATATTTGCCAGTCAACTTTGGTCTTCAACCTAGACTCGCACCCAAAGTTTGCTTGCATCACTGTTGCCCCCAAATTGAGCTCTTGCACACCCACCACCACCACTAAGTACAACACAAGAAGAGAGAGAAGACGGCATGGTTTCTGGCTGGCCTGCCAAACCACTACGGGTGCCCCCTGGCTGTTCCAGAAACTACTGCAGCCTCATAAGATACTGCATTGCTCAAAGCTCTCAACATCAAATGCAACAAATTCAAGGCCATCAGACTCACCACTGCAATAGCAAGGCAGCAGCAGAAAACTGCAGATCAAGTCCATGTAAAGTGTAACGTAACATTTGGTCTTTAGAACTAGCAACAGCCAGACCAGTAGATCTATTTGTAAGGCATTGATACTATGACGCAGTCACTTATTCTTGACCCCTATCAAACTGGCAAATACATGGAGTACTGTATATCAAAATATTGTTAAATCCTTATCCAACATTCCAGGCCAAAAGAATCACCCCTTTTATAGGGACTGCCTCCTTGTTGTTCCTATAACTTGACTCAGTAGTTTCTGGTACAGCCGTGGCACCCCCCTAAGGACCTTACCGACTACGGGAGCTAGGACTTCACTACCTATTGCGAGGGGAGGGGTGTAATATAAGTACACTCGCGCGCAGCGAATCACAGAGCAGGCAGGGAAGGTGTCTTAGGACGCCACGGCCTCCGCGCTTTCCCCGTTCTCCCCGTTTTCTGTTGCCTTCTCGCCGTTCTCGTCCGTCTTCTGGCGCTTCAGGAACTCCTCTCCTTCCTGTGGGTGAAACCAGAACGTCAGTCAGAGAGAAAAGTTTAAGCAGAAATGCTGAAAATATGTTGGTTCACAGTTCAAACTGCACATACACAGTTTGAAGCATCTTGGACAATATGTTGAAGTTTATGCGCCCTGAGACACAAACAAAACATATCTGGACATGTATCAATCATCATAGAAAAGAACTACATACAAATTAAGAGCCTTCAACTTGACTTATTGCACACAGTCATACAATAGTTTATCATACAATGTTAAACTGTGATGAAAAGAGCTGGAATTGAGTGTAGAATTCAAATACATCAACTGTTCTCTCCCCCTGTGTGTGTGTGTGTGTGTGTGTGTGTGTGTGTGCGTGTGTGTGTATGTGTGTGTGTGTGTGTGTGTGTAAGTGTGAGTGTGAGTGTGTGTGTGTGTGTGTGTGAGTGTGAGTGTGAGTGTGTATGCTCACCTGTAGTGTGTCTGCCATGGTGTTGTGTGTGTGTGTGTGTGAGTGTGTGTGTGTGTGTGTGTTTTCACCTGTAGTGTGCCTGCCATGATGTGTGTGTGTGTGTGTGTGTGTGTTCACCTGTAGTGTGTCTGCCATGGAGTGTGTGTGTGTGTGTGTGTGTGTGTGTGTGTGTGTGTGTGCGTGTGTGCTCACCTGTAGTGTGTCTGCCATGGTGTGTGTGCGCTTGACAGCGGGAACAGGTGCGTCCGGTGTGTCTCCTGCCTCCTCCTCTCCATTCTCATCCTCATCATCCTCATCCTGGAACAGAACACAAGAAACAACCTTCACTCACTGATATCAACAGCCTTTACTTTAGACCTTCATCACTATGGATAAACACTTTAGTTACTAGTAAACTCCAATTAACAAACATGAATGCATTCGCTTCCGATTTACATCAAATCCTGACATTCCTCATGAAAGCAGGCATTCCTCCAGAAAAGTGGAGGTTCTTGTAAGGAAGCTTTTGTAAATATTTTCTAAACAATTTCAAGAAGAATGACCAGCTTTAATTCAACAGGGTCACAGCTGTCAAAAGATAATTAGTTTTCATTTTTGGTCTCCTCAGTCATCCATCTATCCTTACCTCCTCATTCATTAATTCACTGGTCTATCCATCTTTTCCTCCATTTGTTTATTTGATTGTTCATCCATTCAATTGATGGTTCGTTCACATATTCATTCATTCAATTATTCATTTATTCATTCATTCATTCATCCATCCATCCTTACCTCCTCATCTCCCTCCTCCTCCTCCTCATCCTCCTCATCGTCCTCTGCTGCCTCTGCATCCTCAATGGCCTTTGTCTCAGCCCGGGTCCCGCCCATCTCCTTATCACCCAGAATCTCAGCACCCTCCTGGAGGACAGGTAGAACGTCTCATTTAAGGTCATATTCGTGAATTTAGGGGTGACATCCCGTCTGTAGTTTTCAAATGTTGTGTTGGAAAAGAAATTGTCTGCAACGGGCAAAATTCTGATGGAACATTGACCAAACATCCAACAAAAACCGTGGGAAATGCAGATTTTGCACAGGCGCAGTACGTTCTGCCGACATGTTTGACTGGTGCACTGTATCGTACCTTTGCTGTGGCGACCATGGTGTTGTCCTTCGTCAGTTTGGGTGCCTCCTCCGTGGACTCCAGTTCCTTCTGCTGACCGCGAGTCTTGGCATCTTCTGCTACACCTCCAGTAGCCTCCAGGAAAGCTTCTCCCTCCTAGAGATGGAACGAAAGAAATCTATCAGCCACATTTTTTTGTTTAAAATCATGTCTGGACTTCCTTTTTTTCCTTACAAGTTTTCTCTGACTTCTATTTTTGTCCTGCACATTTTCAGAATCTCAAATCATTGTATAGCTCGAGTAGTTTTTTTTAGTACAACATGTATCAACAAGTCTGTTCATGCTTTGCAAACACTGTATTCCTTGAAAAAGAATGGAATAAAAGTAAAACCTATAAAGCTTACAATTACTTATGTTTTTAGTAAATCATCAATTTTTATTTCTATATTTTATTTCAACAATTAGCCCAACCATTACACACACAAAAAATGATTCTGAACATTCACCCTCTAGAATTAGTAGAGAAATCAGCACAGAGTACATTGACCTGCACAATCAAACAGTACATCAAGCATGCTGGTCATATGATAGTCCAGGGTAGCAAGTTTAAACTTTGGCATGCCAAGCCTTATCAAGCAAATAAACATTTGTACCCCCTAGCAAATTAATATTTGTACACTGGGTAGACAAAGTACCAAAGATTGAAGGGGAATAACCTCTGTTACAATCATAGGGAACAAATCATATCAAGGGATGACTGGAAAAGGCCAAGGGAGGGACACGGGGTGGTATTATTCATAATTAAGCAGGCGCCTTTGACAATAATGTGATTAGCAATGAATCGCGGCAGTGCGCAGCAAATGTTACCAGACAGTAAAATAATGCCATCCATTCAAATCTGCTACGTTAGTGATCCGGCTGCATTGGCAAAATAACGCAATTTCAAACGAATCAAGGCTGCCATCATGTGGGTAAAGGTATGGCACAGTCATCATGCTACAATAACATCGTAAGAACACAATTATGCTGTTGGGAAAAGGGCAGGATATGGGATATCTTATATATGATATTGCTGGTTATGCAACAAGCCGGGAACTTTGACTTTATTGGTGATACTATCAGCATTGTCAATATAACGAAATTTGGAACAAATTCAGACCAACGTAATAGAAAGGCAGCAATTCTTCTAGTGTTACAAAATTTTGTTAGTCAAAAGTGGAATTGTTTCAATATGATGCATCATATATTGGTCATCCAGCCAACATTGACAAAATAAAATTGATTGACAAATTTAGACCATTATAATAAAAACTATTCTCCAGGTGTTATAACTAAATGAAATTCTGTTAATCAGAAGTCAGGGATTGGCGATGTTTCAACATGACGCATCATTGGTCGATGATGATCCAGTCAATAACAAAATTTGTAACATTTAGACCATCATAACAAAAAGGAGCATATACCCTCTAGTATAATTTAAAATTTGGTTAAATCAGAAGTGGGATTGGCAACATTTCAACATGACGCAGTGGCCTGCAAACCTTGGCTGTGACCACCATGGTCGAGTCTCGCTTGACTCGGGGTATGGCGCTGCTTGAAGCGCCCCCTTGTGGCGGATCCAGGCCATGCAGCTTGAGCACACTGTGAGCTCCTTGGGACCTTAGGTACTCAATACCCTCCTGGTAGAGTACACAGCAATACATCAGGACCCCAACAACTACGTACTGTATTTCTCATTTATCATTCGCATTGATCTGGACTCACTGAGTTTACCATATTGTAGCAGATATTGTAGTCAGCTTTCAAGTAACTGCATGCAGTAAATCCAAGTTTATATGAGAAGGATGAATGTGAAACAATAAATTTTACTGTAGTTACAGATGCAAGATTAGAATATTACTCGTATCCATGCACCAAATTTGTGTCACCATTGTCACTAAAAATTAATGGGAAGATGGTTCAATGGAAAGAGCATAATTTGGTATTCAAATGAAAGCTCATCTGTGTTGGTAGAATCCATAATTGTAAATTTAAGCTAGCTGGCCAATCAGACATCAGATGAAGGTTGACCTGAGATCAACTGAAAATTGATGGCGAGTGTTTCCTTTGTGTTGGAACAAAGCTTAAATTTTACAACTAGAATTTGAACTTGATTTGAGTGCAAGCAGCCATTTAAGTTTAATGCTGAAGCTGATAGAAAATCAGCTTCAAACCTTGGCAGTGGCCACCATGGTAGAATCACGCTGCATTTTGGGTTTGTCCGAACTTTTAGAGGCGCCCTCTGCTGGCTGGTCCAGGCCATGCGCCTTCAGAACGTCCGGACCCTGCGACCGGAGGTACTCGATGCCCTCCTAAAAACCACACATCAAAATACAGGTACTTTTTACAGCAGTAACAATTCCAGTATTCTAGCCAGCATCTGTCTTTCTGTCATTGAATTTTGCCCAATCGTCATCTTTGACGGACGAAAATCATTAAACTAAGCTTACAGTCTACCAGCAATTGCCCCTCAAGAAATAGAGTTTCAGAGAGTCGAGATGTCAAAATTTTCCCGGGGGACATTGTCAAGCCAGCCTTCGATGCTTGATATGTCACATCAAACAAAATTCAAATGATGTTAGAATATTCCAGGGCTGGCTAGAATGCTAGAATACATGTAATATGGACAAGTAAATTCTGAGTTCAAAGTTCTGAGGTTTGCAAATATAAACAATATACAATTTTTGCAAGGACAATAAAATAGCAGTTATCTTTCCTGAAAGATTAAAACAGCTTTTTTAAAAAAATGGTTTGTAATAAAGTAATCTTTTGAGCCCTGACATTCCTTAGCTATTAACTCTTCATGATAAAAAAGCAACCAAGAAAGGGTGGTAAAAAATGTGATCTTCTTGCCAAGCAAAAACAAGGGTGAAAATGAACCCTCCTAAGCCTTATGCTGACCTGTTGGGGCGAATGCAAGTCACAGTCCATTAACACAGCCTAACCCAGGCCTGTGGATCAGGTACCCCCAACAAGTGGCCCTTTTCAAGACTCCAACACTCGGGTAAACAATGGGAACAACAGGTAGGGCAAGAGAGGGAGGGTTCAAACAGGTAAGTAAACACTACCGCGACCTGTTCATTCTTTACAAAGACTGGGTGTACATACGCACAAAGGCTGGCTTTCTAGTATAATGAACTGACAAGCGAAACAAAGTGCTTTATTTGAGTATTTGTCTACAAGCACGTATAAGACTTTGAGAGCTGTATTCAAATATATCAATAAACAGAATAAGACACCTGTGAACATGGATTTATTATTTAGAGTCTTATAATCAAATAATTGTGAGTGCAAAACTAGTTAGGCAGACGAAACTGAAATAAAACCACATGAATTTACAGTAAGCAAAATAACAGAGGGAGTTATAGGTGGCCGAAATATTTTCCTGGCCCACAGAGAATTCTAAAACTAGTAAAAGGAAAGTTTGTGACCTTTTTTCTTCCTAGACCATACTAGCTCCAAGCAGAGGTTTAGGCTTCGGCTAATTTTTGACATGTTTTAGTGTTGTTATCGGGATTTCTTTTATTTCTTTTCTATGCCAGCCAACTGCCTGGCAAATGGATACTGCAGTGCCTGGCCAATTTGATACTGTCCAAGATCTGCTTGGAGATTAGCAAGACAACAACAAAGGCAAGCCCCCGGCATACCCTTACTGCACCACACCTAAACTAGTCTTTCAACAATAACCCACGCTAACCAACAGGTGCGTTTACATAGCCAGCACAAGTACGCACACATCTGACAACTTCACCTCTCAATGTACAGCTACCAGAATAACACATGGGGTTTTATCCAGCTGTATCAGATCAGCTTAACAAAGGTATAGTGAGTTTAAATGAGGCAATACCTGATCACACCGCAAATGCAATTTGAACAGCAGTCGGATTGTGATGTAGTTTTTTTTCCTTTCTCCAAACACACCCTGTTACTGACTCCTATTTGTTATACCAAATATTTGGACATGGAAATTAATAATTCATATTGACATGTTCTGAAGATCAGCAACACAATACGACCCCTTGAGAGTAACCAATTCGCTCTAAAAATATCGTGCTTGCAGCAGAGTTGATTCAAGGCCAAACTCAAGTGCTATCAACCACGTCTTACTTGTACTTTTCCATGCATCTAAATTTATACAGCACATACAACTTCTGTTCGAACAGTCAGACTCAGGACATCCTTTGTTTGTTTGTTTGTTTGTTGTTTGCGCCTTTATTTATTGATGAAAATACACAATTCGGCCAACAGGCCGCTTTTCATTGTGGTCATCATGCAGGGGAAAGGTTCAAGGGTCAACAAATTCCTACAAAACACATAATGTATACATCAGACTTGGATACATGATTCAGAGTCTTAATAAATCTAAACAAATATTCATCATAACATGGTACAACTTATATACATACATAATTAAGTAAATACATAGACGTCAAAGCAGGTAAGTAGTTCTTTTCCTGTGTTCTCCAAATTTTTCTTTTGTAACTTTGACTATCCTGAAAGACAGACATAAACCAGTGTGTACTTTTCCAAAATGCTGCTAATACAGCTATCATATTTATAGCTGGAAGACTGCCATGAAAAGTCATTGACCACTCTGAGCTCCATGTAGCGCCTAAAACCCAAAACAGGCCATTGTGTCGCACTTCCACGGGCAAGGGCATTAGCAAATTAAATCTCAAGCACTGAATATTTTATAGTGTTGGGATGACTGTAAAACTTAGAATTTGTCACGGGTAAGGAAATGGCTGTATTGAAGCCGACTTAAAGCGGAAATTTTATGATACACAGTAATATGTTTGACAGCATGTATAGGCTTGAGCTCAGTGATAAGGAAGTAATATGTTGTGCCATCCAGTCAGCTATCAGTAAGGACTACAAAAGGCTTCTTTTATCAAAGTGCGGCACACCCACATTCTCTCTGGAACTGCCCACACTATAAAAGAAAGGGGCATAAATTTTTCCTGCAAATTTTTATGACGATACCAAACTTTATTTTGCAAACAAACCTACTTTGTGTGATTCCGTTACTAACACAGTTTATCATATACTTTCGGATGCATTAATTCAAATCAAAGTAATGTTTTGCTTTCATTGTATTGAGTGTCCCCTAACTTCTAGTGGTATGACCTAGGCACGTAGACAATACAGCAAGCAAGTCATCTTGCCTGCCAGCAGGGTAGAGAAAATTGGAATTTTTTCTTTTCCATAATCTGACAGGTAATATTTGACAGGTACAGGTAGGAGGGACGACTGTCAGAGCCCATAATCCCCCTTCCAAAATGGTATGATCCAAGCCGCTCTGGATGCAACAAGACAAAGAACTGACCCAGGTTGTTAATTACCAAAATGGCAGTTTTGTTGTTTGTCCAAATATTTGCTAGACAGTACTCCAACACCTGTGCTCACTCCTAAGTACATACAGTTGCTTCTGAAGGCAGCTTTTGATTGTCCCTCCGTCCGAATGGTTCGATCCAAACTGCACTAGATACTAGACAATGAAGACTTATCCCCAGCCTGACCCCAACTGTCAAGTGGTAGATAGAAAATGGCCCTGTATTTACACGTAGCCCAGACTTCTGCACAGACCTCCCATTGTTTACCACGTGTGCCAACTAGATACAGGGACAGTCGGTTTTCTAGGTGACCCCAAATGTAGTGGTACAATCCAACCCCTAACGAAAACACTGCAATAATGTGACCTAATGATCTATTTGCAAACGAGGGAGGGTTAAGAAAATAAAGGGGGAGAGGTAGACAAGCCCTTAACGTGTAAACAAGCTGGAAAATTGGGGGGCTGACTTTTCAGACCTTTGGGCTTTCCTTCGTAGAGTGTAGTGATCTAAAATCTATGCACAAAATAGCAAAATACTTATAAATTTTTCAACTGATCTGTGCTGTCAAACAGAACAGGGAAAAACAAGCACTCCATTCCATTTACCAGAATAATTAGCAGAGAATCTAATTGCCATTATGTAAATAATCATCACACCTTCCCCTGCTTTCATGGTATGACCCAAACTGTTCTAAACTCCAGGACAATCAATAGAACCTTGACAAGGTCAGGGCTAAACCAATGTGTCCTTCAAACAATATCTTTCCAAAGACACATTTTCTACTCTCTACCTATCACCCTATCTGTACTAACGAGGCCCCCAGGCTATATGGTCATTATGTGTCATTTGGCAAAAAGAAAAAGAAACCCTTCAAATACATACAAATGTACAGACCACAACCCAGTAATACAACAACTGCTCTGCTAGTAAGGACCCCGCCTCAAACCAAAATGGCACTCCTTTCAAAATCACTCACTTAGAAGAAATCTTGCAGAGTTAAGTAGACCTAGACTGGATGCTACAGTCATAATTCACTGTCTTCTATCTATATCACTGTTGCTATACGAACATTATGGTTCAAAGACATAGGAAAAACAGAAAAAAAAGTATCTTCTTTTCCCTTCAGGTCTTCTATTAAAGCTTCTTCAAGTCTAGACAAGACGGCTATCTGGGAGGTATCTCAGCCTCCATGGCTCATGCAACAGTCACGAGCAATTACCCGTGTACATGTGTGATAAAAACGTCATGCCTGCATGGTTTTATTGCAAAGTTATGCCCGAAAGTGCTACGGTCTATTATCTATTGTTTCAGACCATAACACACCACCATAACACACGTGCCTCTACAGCCAACAGATGGCAAAAGAAAAATTTAGCAGGTTCGTTTATAATCCGCTCTTCATTTAGACAGTACATAAAGTTGCTTTGTTAACACTGATATTTCTGTATATGGAGACTTTTCAGCTCAGAAAATAAATTCTCGACTAGTTTTCCAATCTGGCCATCATTACACATCTAGTACACAGAATGCTTTCCGGTCTAGTTCCACTCTAAAACAGTACACAGCATTTGTCAACAACAACATGGATCACCTAATCTTGAAATCCCTCTATCATCAAGGCAAGCGATTCTTCGTTCTATTCTGTTTAACAGGCATGCAGTGGCCTAGTTCTACTGGCCAGCAATCCAAGGGTTGCTGGTTTGTATCTAGCCTCTACCAGGATTTTGAAGCAGCTAGAAAGAGTAGAAATTGGCTAGTAAGAGACAGATAACATGCTGGGGGAGTTGGCCTGCAAAGGAGTACAATTTGGAGCACCCTAGCTAATTTCTACTCTTTCCTGCTGCTTTAAAAGCCTGGTGGAGGCTAATTTGTATCCTAAATGACCACTAGTCTAGACTACTACCACTGAAACCAAAGAAACCCAAGTGAAAGTACCAAGAGACTGTTTGGCACCTTCTGATACCTGATACTACACACAA